CAAATGCACTGGTGAAGCCCCCCTACCACCCACCCCAAATAGGCAAATTAAAGACACCCACACAGTCGCCCAACGTCCAGTTTAAATGAAACATATTTACATCACTGTCATCTGAAATATTGGAGAGGAACTCACATACAAGAGACATGAATGACAGGGTACAAGTTGAATTTAAAGTGATAAACACAGACTGAGATGCTTACAGACTCCCAGGAAATATGACACACACACACACACACACACACATTTCATCACTGACAGTAGCTGAGAGACACAAAGACAACATCTCTGCTACTCAGAATACAAATCTGGTGTGAAAGAAAACACACACGCAATCACAAACACATACTCATGATGAGCCCTTAAAACAAACAGAAATCAAGGAAGTAAAAGGACACGAACATTCCACATTTATTTGTTTATCTCGATCCCTACTAGCTGCTCCTTTAGTTCCAAACAGGCATAATAACGTAACTGTCAGCAGTGCTCAGCCAGCCACACTCATACAAGTTCTCCAGCAAAACATACATACACTGACAGGCAGACGAGCAGAACTTCAAAAGCCAGAAATAAATTAAAGACGAGTCTGACGGGGGTGAATAAATAACAAGGGGAGAGAGAGAGACGAAAACAGGAAGGGGAGACGGAGTGTGCAGCAGTAAGAGAGGAAGCAGAGAGGGAGATGCAGTGATTTTTGGAAGGAGGCTGGAAGTGCAGGCAGGGAGAGAGAGACCGTCACACACACTTCTAATCTAGTTCGAGTTAAACTGGCATGCAGCAGCTCAACTGCAACAATGGAAATAAATTCCATAGATATGTGTGTGTGTGTGTGTGTGTGTGTGTGTGTGTGTGTGTGTGTGTGTGTGTGTGTGTGTGTGTGTGTGTGTGTGTGTGTGTGTGTGTGTGCTGCAGGTGGAAAATGCCCGCAAAACTCAGCGTGGGGCTAAGTGACTTGCATGTCTTTTGAGTTTCCTATACTCGGTGTCTTTTTTTAATTTTAATTATTTGGAGAAGGGTGTGAGTGTGAATGCAAATATGCAAATGAAACGGTTATTATTGCATTGCTCATCAAGCAGCGCGGAGCAGACATTAATAGGCTGATGAATATGCATGTGAATTTGTTAATTAAGTTAATTATTCTGCTGAAAATGCATTCGTCTTCCAAGGACATCTTCCCCAGGATTCCAACCTGCTCCACTCATTAGTCATGCGATATTTTACACTGGGCGCTGGGACAAGAGGTAGGAAAGGGAGGGGCAGTAGGGGCCACCGGGTTGATATGTATACAATTTAAGGGCATCTTGGTTTCAAGTTCACATAAGAACAACAGTAAGAGCCTCAGAAAGAGATATAATGGCATTATAGTGATGGCTAATCCTTCATCAGCTCTTCAAAACTAAAGGGTCAGAGAAAGAGACAAAGCACTGCCACCAGCTACAGTAAGGCGTACAGACTCCTAGTGGCCAGATATTCGCTCCGTCTCTGCTTTTCTCTTTCCTCTCTCCTCTCCAGTAATTCCCCCTCTTCGCTGCTTTTCCTCTAATTGCTTATTAAAACCCTCTTAAATGAACTTTTTGTGCCAACTTTCCAACACATTAATTAATTGTTGTAGCCAATTAAGTGTCGCTGCGCAAATGAGCTTCAGCACAAATGGTCCTGCAGGGCCCCCCCCACCCCACCCCCCCTCCTTACCACCACCACCCAACACCACCCTCCTCCTCTTCCTCCCCTTCCTCCTCCACCTCCTCCTTTTCCACCACCCTCGCTGACTGCTTTCCCAGCAGCCCCTCTGCCCTTAAAGCTGTAGCATCCACACAGAGAGAAATAACGTTGCCTTGCTCATGAAGCTCTGAATTTAAAATGAGACGCTGAGACCTTGCAAAAGTACAGTAGTTCGCAGAAGTGCAGTTTCATATAGAGAAGTGGCTGAAGTGGAGAGGAACTATTAAAAGTTCAGAGAAATATTTTTTTTTAAAACAAGACAGTCTCTTCTTGTGTTTGGGCTTGTTTTTGCCATCATGGATTATTGAGGGAGCAAATAAGCAGACACTTTAGTGTAGGTGGATTTTATAACAAAAGAGTGAGTGTGATCCCAGATTATTATGCTTTTATGACCTGGCACCAGTGACTTTACATTAAATCAACACACATCTGTATTATCTGGCCAATCCAAAAGCCTCCTAAAAACTCTTTAGTTGGTCTCACTGCTGTTGAGCGATAAAGAAATAACGAGTGTATGTGACAGCAGTTTCTCGCAGAACTATAAACTGAGAAGAAATGGAGATAGTGTTATGGCATCAATAAAGCATGCTGTTGCAGCACTAAAGCATATATCACTGCTGGGATAAAGTCAATCAATTTTTTGAAATATCACATAAATAAAGATGTAGCCGTAAATGAAATGACTGACATTAAATTTTGTTTGATAGAAGACAAAGAAGGGATCTGATGAAGACAGCACAATTCACTTACAACCCAAGATGCATTTATCCATTTAATATAACTTCTTTTTTTTTTTTTTTTTTAAATCTGTTAATATAACATGTTCAGTTTACTATTCATGCTTTACATTAGCTGTTCTTTGCTGATCACTCTGCGTGTGTCTTAGATGTGGGACAGTGGGAGTCTCTTTCTCCCCTCACTGAATTTACACCTAGTCACTGATCAAACAGCCTCAGTCATCAAACTGAACATCAAACCATAGCGTGGCTCACAGAGAAAACAGCGGCCCAGATTTACACTGCACAAAGGAGCTCTAACCCAAACACATACGCATGCAAGGATTCATGCACATTCTCATAGCTGCGCACACACACACACACACACACATACAGAGTGGTAGAAAGACAGACACGTGCATAGAATACCCAGGCATTTGGCGCACGAGAAATTAACTTGTTTAGTTAGTTAAGAGACTTTTACTGGTGCAGATCTTGTTTTTTACCTTCAAATTTAATCTAGAATTTAATACAGTAACGAGTAAAAGCGATAAAAACGAGTGACTGAATTTATTGAGTGCTTCGGATGCAGAATCATAGTTATCTATTGTCTGGAGAAGCCTGCATTGGTCACATCTCAAACTGTGCACTTTTGAATGTTAACATGAACTTGAGTTAATAAATCTCAAGCTGAATCTGAAAATCTGAGTATCAAGGCAACCAGAAGGCTTATCTCAGTACTGTGTAAATGGATCATGTTTTTAAAATGTTTAATTTACTCAAATGTTTCCTTACACTGAAAACTGAAATGCAGATTTATTTTGCTTACTTTGTCCCTCCAGAGGCAGTCTCTTTCCCTTCCTTACCTGTCCATCTCTTCTACCTCCCAGTTTGCCCTTGTCTTCTACTTTTTCTTGCAGACGTGTGATGTGCTGGGTTTGTCATTTTACATAATTTTAGAGGGAGCTGCTATTTGTTCAAGGTTGCCATATTTCACACAGTGGACAAAGGGTATCTACCTGCAGAGATTATTGTAAAGTATGTTGTAGATCCCAAATATGTGCAATCAGCTCTTCTTAATTAGAAGACTGGATCAAGCAGTGATGCAAAAACCATAATTGCATGCAATTTGGCATGAGCTAGCTTAAATGGACTGTCAATCAATTTAGTATTTGGCTGAAAGTCCACCAATCCAATGGAGGGTCCATTTTGAATGCCGCCGTTGCCCATCTCTGCCATGGCGAGTACATGCTTCAGACGGGCAGCATGGCACATTTATGGGCATTCCCCATAAGGTGCCTTTCTGATTGATGGCACAGCCTCATGCACCTCCCTCTCTTCACTCCTCAGTCCTGATTTATTCGTCTAGTCTCTGTGACTTGGCACTGGCATTGCCCACTACTTCTCCTGTCGAAACTCCCTGCGGGCACATTCAGTATTATTTGAGAGTCCCGATGGGCAAAGGCATCAGACAGAAACACACCCTCACATACAGACACACACACACGCACTGCACTCTCATCTCACTCACACTGAGCCTGTGCTAGAGGGCAGGTGAGCCTCCCACTGCCACTCTGAAAGGATCTCTCACCCAGAGGGCTCAGCTGCTTGGTGGGCCAGAGGGGTAAGCAGCTCTGTAAGCCTGCCAAGTGAGGAACTGGTCTGGGTATACAGGAGGTCAATCCTAGCACACACAAAAACACACACACACACACGCAAGCGAGCGCACACAGCCAGTCTGAATGAAACTCGCAGGCTCCTGTCTTTGCCAATCTGCAGTTTATGATCCTTGTCTGCCTGTCAGGATCTTCATAAAGAGATCAACCCAAGTGGTAAAGGAATCAACACATAAATTAGATTGATGCTTAGGGAGCACTTCACGTCACTGTGACTGGGTCAAACTATACTTCACATATTAGGCAGTGCGTAGGAAACAATTCATCATAAAAGTTACAGTGGAACACTGTAAAAATTAAACTACATTAAACAACAAATCTCCTTAGTGTTTAAATAAGCTTCCAACCACGTGTAAAGATAACGTTGTTTATCTCCAACCACGATAGCAGACAGATTGTGTGCCTATGAAGAGAAAAAAGGACATAGAACAGATTAAATATTACCAACAATAACAAAATCTTCAATAATTATATAGCACTTTGGATTCTACAAACAAAAACAATCCAAACTGTCTATCCTTATTAAATATTTTGCATGTTTAAGATGTAGTTATGCATTTATTTTATTATTTGTTTGGAGATTTATTATTTAAGATTATGAATTATGTCAGCTTTAGTTTTAGTGATTTTACCAGTGCCGTTGTGCAGTCAGTGGCTTTCCTTACTTGATATCTTTCTCGTCAAAGTAGCCTGGGTAATGAGAAGGAGCGAACATGAGTTTTCATCTCTGGTCTGTAACTTAGCTCATAATGCAGTTCTCAACTTCAATCAGGCTTTGCGGAGGCCTGACTGCAGGGACTTCCTGTAGTTTGAGCTGTGGCATGAGTGAATGCCTACCATCTAGTGGCCACTTCACAGAAACATTCAGAAACACCAGGAGAGACAATTTGACTGGTCACATTCCTTTCCTTTAATAAACTGAACCAAGAAAACACATATTACAAAATATTCTTTTCTTTTTACAGACACGTGAAACCATTTCCTCCTCCCTTTCCTTTTCCAAAGCAAAAAATGGAAACACAACCATGGACCATTATTTTTTTAAGCATGTTTCACCTTTCTTTATGTAGAAAATAACTGCACCAAAAAAGAAAAAGCTTTTGTTGCACAAGTTGGCAGGGAGGCGACAACATACAGTATTAGACAAGGCTTTCAGAACCCACCAGGGAAAGATGGAAAAATCAGTTTCTGTGGGTGTGTATATATGTTTCTAACTTTGTACTTCAACTAGCAGAATAGCGTGTAGTATGGAGCAGTCAATCATAATGTGGTAGTCTAATCCATATTTGAGACGTGAAAGTGAATACCAGGCTTAGGCTTGTTACGACACAGAGGTTGTATGTAAAGATAGGAAACTCCAGGAACACATTGCAGTTGGGTTGATGACAGACAGAATATAATGTGTTACAGCCTCTGGGTAAAACAAAATAAAAAAACACAGTCCTGCAGATGTACACTGTTGTAGGTGCCACCCAAAGCAGAAACTTAACCCACATTTCCCCACTAGGCCGAGCTCATTCAGGGGTCGCTGGGGTCACAAAGGAGGCACAAGGCTGAAAAAAGGGGAGCTAGCCAGCAAGTAAGATTCTATGGGAAACGCATGGTCCTCCAGTCAGTTACTCATTGCCTCAAATAGACCCACATACAGTATTTCAGCTTCAGCTAATCTTCCATCACACAGTAGAGGACAGTGACTTCATTTGCCAAAACACTGATAACTTTGTTAGACTTGGGCACTGCAGTGGACATGACAATCATTTATTTTAGGGAGAAAAAAAAAGATCACAGCTGCTTTCTAAGTTGAGTGTCAGATGCATGGCACTCAATTTGGAAGCTGAAATTCATTCAAGTCTGGACCCTCGGTGGACAGGAAGGAGCAAGGGATTGCAGGTGGTGACTGTCCTTAGTTAGATTATTAAAGGCTAGACCCCAGGTCCAAATGCCTTCCAATACAACACAACAGTTTGTTCAGAGGGCAGCGATGTTCATGACCTGAAAAGGCCCTTAATCTCTTTCTTTCAGACATTCATCTTCAAAATCTTTGATTCAACTTTAGCTACCTGCTCATGGTCCAGTGATAATCTGGAACCTACATCATAATCTGTAGGTGTCCGTTTGCATTCTTCCTCTGCCTCTCCCTTCAGGCCAGGATTGCTGGAGCCAGTCCAAGATACCTAGGTCTATCTCACCGGGGGATTTAGGGTCAGCGGGCAGCTCCATGGGAAAAGCGGAGGTCTTGGTCCTTAGGGAACTGCGCTGCAGTGGTAGGCGCATCAGTCACCAGTCCTGCTGGGGCCTCAGCTGCAGCCGAAGGTTTAGGCGGAGAATCTGCAACCCAGGGTGGAGGGGGCTGTCCCCGGGCCGGAGCATCCACAGCAGGAGAGGGGTCCTTACTGCGCTGAGGGGCCCCAGTTTCCGAGTCCTGCTGAGACATGAGCTGGAGTAAGGCAGCTGCCACAGCAGGGCTGATGTCCTGGCTGGGCTGGGTTTCAGACCCCGCCTGCTGGGCATTTCCAAGGAGGAGAGCTGACGGAGGTGGCCCAGGTGGAGAGGGAGGACGCTCAACAGATAGAGGCACCTGGCTGGCCTCAAGCGGTTTCCTTTTTGATGCTGCACCATCTGAAGGGGCCAAACAGGACAGAGGACAAAACGTTAGTACCAAGGGGGATTTGTCATGTAATGTTTAACTTCTAACATGTGAACTGTCTACACAATAAAACTTAATCTTATTTGTCATCATCTAATTTGTAATTACAGAAAATAAAAGATGTATTTTTGTCAAATGGGGTTGACGTGGAGTAACAATGTTGACATTCCTACCTTCACCACAAGAGGGAGGGCAGAGCACGCTAAGTGTATCTTCACATAGAGTACATATCAGTACCGTTAAAAGGGCGTACATATCTGTCAGTATTGTTGCAACAAGGCTAACTTGGAGTCAGATATAGAACAGTAACTAATAAAACTATACAGCCATGAAAAGAATACGTATGGTCTAAGAAAAATCTACAATCATGCCCCAGTGAAGGTATAGTAAATCTAAATGGTGAAAATGGAAAAATGCTTTTTTATTTTAAGTAGTCATCACTGTTAAAATAATGTTTATTCAACACAGTAAAACCATTTAATTTTCTTACTATATGGGTGCATACCAACCAACCAATATAATTGCATTGAGGTATGCAGAACAGATGCAGCTGTACTTTTTCCCCCTCCAAACAACCACCTTCAACCAAAGGAGAGATGCAGGAACTAGGTGAGAAAACATTGGGAAGGGCATGTACAGCTGGATGAACAGAAAGGGTGACTTATGAATGAGAATTTCAAGTATTATAAAAAGGCAGGACACAATTACTAAACCAGGTTAGTCTGTTTTCCTATCTACAGCAGTGCAAGGGTTTCACACAGGCCTTGACAGAAGAAATAACCAGAAGAAAACAGAAACAGGACTGTTACCATTCCAGTGTCAGCAGCATAGTCAACAGATTTATTCAACTTGCTAATAACATGTTTGATCTAATATCTGAATAAGAGTGAACAGTTAAAAACAAAAGAAAAATGTGTGACAAACCAAAGTTAAAAGAAACACATGCAGGTGAAGTCTAAAGATCCAAAACATTTATTTTCACTTGATAATTTATTAGACTTTTTCTTCATAAAAAGGCTGACATTACAGACTGTTCAAAGCAACATTGCTTCCTGTGAAGAATCCATGACACCTGCTTTATATTGAAAAATGAGGTGAGGAAGAAAAAAAAAACAAGTGTGGAGATGGGACAGATACAGAAACAAAGACTGAGGGAAAAAAATCAAGGAATAGGAAGAAATGTGGAAGGGAACAATACAGTGTGAACCTTTCTCTTTACTCAAATGAATAACATAACTACACTTTCTTCTGGTTTATTAAGTACACCAGCGAGAGATGTCCATGTGCGCCAAACCTTTGCCTGGTTACCAGGGTCACATGACTACAAACACTCAACAGAAATTTTGCAATGTTTTTCTTTTGCATTCAGTGTGTGAGGTGGTCAAAGGGGGCAATGGTGAGTGGGTGTGTTTAAGGAATGTCAGGGATAAAGGAACGAGAGGGGGATGCATGAGAAGTCTAATAGCCCAATTCATTTGGTTAATTGATCATTTTGTTGATTTCATCAGGTAGTCTAAAGTGTAATTAATGAATATAGTAGAGTATACAGGAATTTTGAGCTTATGTTTGTTGCCTGCCCTGCTCTCCTCACTCTTGCAGTCCCCAGTGATTTCCACCTGACCCTGGTTCCCCCTTTCTTCCACCCTCTAGAGACTAAACCCGGACTTGCCCTTGTGATCAGTAGTAGAGGCAGACGAATCGCGGGTTAGTGCCTCCTCTGACTGGACGCCATTGCTCTCATCGCCTTGCTCCTCGGTTTGTGGCTTGATGATGTGGCCCAAAATGAGGGCCAACAGGTTTGCCTGATCTTCCTGGCTGAGTGGTGGGTCTCCGGATGTCGGCGAGAGTTCCTGGGGTTCAGGGGGCGGCTCAGGTGGCTGGGCCCTGGCAGTAGACTGGGCCTGGTCCTCTGGAGCCCCCTGGTGGTCAGAGGCCTCACTGAGGGCAGACAAAGACTGACTGAGAGCCTCTGGGTTGGAGAGGTTGAGGAGCTGGGCCACCTGTGGCAGGCTGAGGTCCGTCTGTCCCTGGAGGAGGTTCAGCAGTACCGCCATCTCTGCCTGGTTCAACTGTTCTGCGGCAACTCCCAGGCCTGAACACACACATTCATACAACCCGAATTCAAACAATAAAAATGCAAAACCGTGCAAACACAGAACATTTTTCTAAATCATTCTAAATTACTTTTTTATTTGAAAGCAGCACAAAGCATACGTCTGTGCGTTTCTGCTAAAATGCTGGCAAGAGGCAACTGTTACCTGACAACTCACGCTCTAAGTTGGCTGTGGAGGGTGGTTTTCCGGGTGGAGGCGGCGGGGCTCCAGCCGGGCTGGTTTGGGGCCGGCTGTTCTCTCCGCTGGAGGTCCCTGTCGCATCCTTACGGGGCACTTTGGGCACAGGCACATCTTCGGGCAGCCCGCTTTGACGTGCACGCCGTCTCTTCTTACTCCACAGCTCGTGGCAGTCCTGATGGTGAGGAAGACTGGAGACGCAGCAGGCAGACATGCAAAAAAAATTATAGCAAAACCATTATTTACATACAAAAAAATTAAATTAAAAAATATTTGTCACTATCGCTCACGATGAGAAAAAACATATCTGATAAATGAAAGGGGAAAGCAAAGTGCACGGGTCTACTGACTCTGGCGGCGGCATCTTGCTGGGCTCAATGTCACACAGGAAGTCACTGTTGAGAGCTTGCTCCGATGTGCAGCGCCGCGCAGGATCTAGGGTCAGCATTCGGTCTAGCAAGTCCAGGGCAGTAGAAGGTAAACTGCCAAAAGGAGAGACATTTCAGCTGTAGAAACACACCAAGGGTTGATGGCAGCTACTTTGTGGTAGTGCAGAATGGCTACATACAAGGCAAACTCCTCCCGCAGGCGCCGTCTGTACTGCTTCTTGGGTTTCATGGTATTGAAGAGGGGAAGTTTAATGACGTCAGGCCAGACTGCAGGACAGGGACTCCCGCACAGACGACTAAGGGAAATGAGAGAGGGAAGCAAAGATGGGGTCCGTGAAGAAATGGACTAATGGGAATGTGAAGGTTGCAGCAGAGGTTATTACTTGAGTTGTGTTTAGGAAAGGGCAGTCTACCTGATGAGCTCCAGCTGTAGAAGCTCCTGGTTAGCTTGGAAGATGGGCTTCTTGGTAAAGAGCTCTCCCAGAATACATCTGAGCAATGAAAGATGATGGGTAGAGGTAGTAAGAAAATATGCACCGATGGTGATGAAGCAGTGGATTAGACTTTAGTCTTTGGTGTGAGAGACCCAGGTTCAATTCCACTACACACCAATGTATCCCTGAGCAAAACACTTAACCCCTAGTTTCTCCAGAGGCGTGCGACCTCTGACATATATATTGCAATTGAAAGTCGCTTTGGATTAATTATGGACTATTATGGATTATTAATTAACAAGCTTAAACTAAATTTAAAACTGTGAACGTCTGTCAGACAGGATTGTGACTGTGACCAATGAATCCTACTATTTTTTAATAAGACACATTTCCAATAGTACATATCCTACAATAAATATTCATCCCTCTGTTTCTGGCATGACTAATCACGGATAAAGAAGACAAAGAAGTGCATATGAAAAAGGATACAATATACAATACAAAAGGAGTGTGGAAGTTGTGTGGAAATTTAGGACTAGTGCAAATTATGTTAATTTGACTCTACTTACTGCTAGGAAAACAAACAAACAAACAGCAAACAAATGGTCTTTTGCTATAAAGCAATTAACTTTTGGCAGCACAGCCAAAAGGTAAAAAGAAAAGCTCAGGTAAAAAGAAAATCAATTATCTCATGCCTGACTTAGCTGAATTTGCCTCTTGGTGCCCAGGATTACAAAGTAACATACTCTCTGTGTTGCAAACGTCCAGAATGTTCATATTTGTTTACATGGCAGAAAAAAAGACACTTTCCATCTGTTCTTTATTTCTTCTGTAAAGTTTTCCTCCCATTCCATAAAAAATTTTACCAAGCATTTCAACTATGGTATGTACATACAGTTAACCTTACCATGGTGGGTGGAGAGCTTTCACCTACTAATGCCTGATGCACACTAAACGTGGGATACCACAGATGTAACGACAGAATTATCCGATTATTATTATTTTTTTAAATCTTAACGCACACACACCAAATGATTCATTAAAGATGCAGGCTCACACACACTCACTTTATCAAATGTGACTTCAGACAAACAAATATGCAGACTGTCATCATCAGCTAGTTGTGTGTGCATTATGTTTTGCACAGAAAAACAAAAAAAAGAATAAAACGGTTGATAAACTGATGAACTCATGACTGAGAAGATGGAACCAGCATGATTTTTATACATTGTATAGCACGAGCAAATAGATTGAACATTGGTAACACATCACAGCCAGATCTCTCTCATTGGCTTTTCCGGATTTCTGATTAGAGGCTCCACAATTTCGATTCTCAAATATCAAACATCTCTATGATTAAAAATTGGGGAGTCTCAAATCCAATCAGCAACCTTAAGATAATGTCGGTAAAACTATCAGATTATAGGACAATTTGGGCCGATAATCAGATCAGACCACTCTCGGCTCTGGAATGCCCCCACGATTGTCGGGAAGGGCGAATCGGATTTATTAAGTGACTCATATTTAATTCTTATTTTCCAAATATTGGATAGTGTGAATGCAACTAAACCCATCTGAACAAAAGGTTGCTTTAACCAACAAAACATTAGTCCGAATCTACATGAGTTCATGAGAAAAATTATAGAATGGGGTTTGTGTGTGAGAAAATAAAGTAAGAATGAATGAACAGACAGACGTGCTAACATCACAGTGTCATCCTCACCCACAGCTCCATACGTCAATGGCTGGAGAGTATCTCTCCTCTCCCAGCAGGAGTTCAGGGGGGCGGTACCATAGTGTGATTACTTTATTAGTGTACGGCCGACTAGAGAAAGGAAAGACAGACGGTGAGACTCAGTTCTCATTTATAGAGCATCTATGCCCCCAAGTGCCCAAACACAAACATTTCAACTTTCACCCACTGGGATCTCTCTGAAAGAAGACAATGTGACAGATACCACCATCTAGTGGAGAGTCATTATAAATTCATGCTTGTGGTGAGGTTTATTTACCGCTTCAATCATTATAAACAATACATTCATATTACAGAAGCAAGAAGTTGAGGTCCCCATATATTACATACATTAAAAAAAAAAAAAATGTAACACACTTATCTTACCTTTCTTCTGAATTGTAAAGCCGGGCCAAACCAAAGTCAGCAAGTTTGATCTGACCTCTGTACAAAGAAAAATGGATAACAAAAGTCCAAGATTAGGAGCAACACTAACAAGCATGAGAAAAACTGCTCTGTCAACAACTACAAATTACTGAGAACTACAGTATTTAACCCTGAGACACACAGCTCAACTGTCCAAATCAATAAAGTGATTGGTCAAACTCACAGGACATCTGGAGTAACAAATGTCCAAACTCCAAGTGTCTATTTGCAATCAGCTGTACAGTAGTGAGTGAGAGCAAAGTGTGGCTGTAAATGCTCCATTTCACAGCAAAACCCACATTTTCAGCTATTTTTTAGTAGCACCTCAGCTATTGCAGCTTGTTTAGCTCAGTTGGCATCCCGTAGTGTTTGTAGAGTGGATGCAGAATTGTTCTGAGCAGCCATCTGTGAGAATTTGCTTTGCTCCTTCATTGCTGTTATTTGAAACACCCGATTACATTAGTAGCAAACTAATTATCTTTACTGCTGATGCACCTCGAAACACTACCATCATTAAAGTTAGCGTTTGACTGCTTTTAGTCTTGAGTTTACAGTATTTACAGACTACAGCTGCATTTAAACCATCTGCAGGTTGCAATGCAACGTTGTTCTAAGTTGTTGATGTGGATAATGCTGCATTATAGCTCTTCATCTTAATGTCAATTTGTGTAAAGGGGATAAGAGGTACAAAAGCAAACAAACATGAATAAAAAGTAGATCAAACAAGCTGTAGGTGATAACTGACGCTTTAAAATCACCCGAAACAGCTGTTACTGCTGAACAACTGATAAAGGCCTAACTGCTACAGCTAATGAAGCGCGACTAACTGTCTCAATAAAGGACACTACAACATTTCACTCCTGATGTCCATGTCTTCTGTTCCTTACCTGTTGTTTAGAAGTATGTTGGAGCATTTGATGTCTCTGTGAAGGAAGTTATTCTTATGGCAATAGTCCAGGCCCTCCATCAGCTGGCGCATGAGGCTGCGGACATGCTCATGGGAGAAGTGGACCAGGCCTGACTCCAGCAGGCCCATCAGGTCATGGTCCATGTACTCAAACACAAGGTAAAAAGCACCTAAAAACAGACCCACAAGTATACAAACATGAGAGGGGTTGCTTTGTACTTAAGACCAGCACAGAATATTTAACCTTCTCCGTGTTAATTCATCACTCTCAGATAACTGAATACAAATTTTTAAAACAAGGTTTACAACCTGATTTAAAGAGGTGGTATTATGTTTTGGGCATTTCCCGTCTCCTTTATCAAGTTATATTCCTTTTTTGTGCATGTAACAGGTTTGCAAAGTGAAAAAGCCCAAAGTCCAGCCCAAAGGGAGTTCCCATCTCCCACAGAAAACACTGCTCTGAACTGCTTGAAAACAGCTCGTTTGTAGTCCAGCCGTGCCCTAAACAACACTCATTGGCACTCTTCTCTTCGGCACGCTCTTCTCTGCTTCTGATTGGCTAGTAGTCTTTAACTAGGAACTGCGCATGTGCAACTTCCAACGAAGACAATTTAGAGACAAGATGTATCACTCCATAGCTAAAACGGAGCCTTCACACACAGGATAAAAAGAGGAGCTGCAGCAATGTGCAGTATGACAAAAAATATGGTGTTTTTTGAAAAATTAAACCATGTAAACCTGTTCTGGTACAACCCCTAAGTAGGATTTTGAACCTGAAATTGAGCATAATACCACCTCTTTAAAGTTGATCTAACAGGATTCAATTCACCTTTAATTCCCTTTCAGCTTATATTGAGTATGATTTTCATTGACAGTATTTAAATTAAACCAATTCTTTCATCTTGTCCAGCACTGGCAGATCATTTCTAACCCTCTTACCTTTGTCCTTTTTAAAGTCGAGTGCATCCTGCTTGTCGGTGACAATCTCCTTCATGTTGACAACACTGCGGTGCTTGAGCTGCCGCAAGATCTTGATCTCTCTAATGGCTGTGATGGGAAAACCCTCCTTTTCATTGTCCAAACGCACTTTCTTTAGAGCCACCAGTTCACCTGGCATGATAGAAAGAGTATTTTGAGAAAATGTTCTAATGAGAAATCGGTCTCTGCTTGTTTAACCATAAAGGACATGCGAGCACTACAGTGACTGAAGTTCAGGTAATTTTCACTTACCAGTGTCTTTGTCCTTGGCCTTGTACACCTGACCGTATGTGCCTTCCCCTATGATGCCAATTATATCAAATTTGTCTACACAGCGTTTGCCCCAATCACTCTGGGTATGTTTGCGCTCACCATATCGTGGGCAGCAAATCCTGAAAAAGAAAAACAGGTTAGATTTTCATATAGGTTTTAAAAAAGTAAGATTGAAAATGGGTGATGAATGAAAAAACTGACTTTGGTCTCTTCTTAAGGGCTGGCTGGGGTAGCGGTGGAGCCTGGCGGATGGGGGACTGTGGGGGTGAGGAGCCCCCTCCAGGCAGAGTGGGTGGTAAAGGAAGGTCAATTAGTGATGGCCGGCTGCGAACTTCCTTCTCCTTCCTAGATAATCTCTGCGGAGGGGTGGACTTCTTTGGACTGAGTGCAAAATACAAGGATTTTTGAGAAAAGTGCAAATGATTATAGAGACAGGGGAGAAGCATTTATATCGTAAACAACAAGGCAGGCTGTGGCTACAGAGTGTGTAGTTGCGGGAAAGCAAATCTGACATTGTGTGACAGGGTAATACAGAGAGGCAGGCAAAGTGCCCCCAACAAAATGATGAGGTTTTAACCACTGAGGAAAAATTGAGTGTATTACTTTGTCTAGATGTGTGCCAATATCTTTTGAGTATGACAATGATCATAATTAACTAACGCCTAAAGAAGGCAGAAATGTAATACTGTTCACAAGTTACCATATATAAAGGGATATCTTCAAGTGGACGTGAGCATGCATTGAGACTAGTCTGCAGTGAGACATATACTGCATGTATGTATCTCTGTTGGGGAGTCCTCACCTGCCCTGAGTGTTTCCCAGCAGTGCAGGTGGTAAAGGCAGGGGAGGCAGAGTCGACGTCTTGTGGAGCGGGGTCGGGCGGACGGGGCTGCGTGTAGGAACCGGAGCAGGCGATTTGGCCTGGGATGTGGTTGAGGGTGTCGGAGGCTGAATACTTGTTTCTGCATGAGGTGGCGGTGGTGGAACCTGGGTGACTGGACCAGGCGGCACAGGAGGAGAGGGCTGCTGAGGAGGAGGAGGAGGATGTGCAGGAGAGGAGGTGGAAGAGGAAGGCGGAGGTGCAGTAACCTGATCTTCACCACTCGGAGCATCCTGGTGTAATGGCGCAGGTGGTGGGGCCAGAGGTTCTGCTATTGTTGCAGAGTCTCTCTCCGACTGTGGTGTCTCGACTTTAGTGGGCCGTAAGGAGGAGGAGCCTGCATGTTTACGTGCTGACGGAAGAGGCGAAGCACCACCACTGGCACGGGCGGCAGCCTCAGCAGCCTGGCGTTCCTTCTTCCTGCGCGTCAGCTCTGCTCCCAGGCTGGAGTTAAGCGGCAGGCGGGAGGAGGGAGGGGAGCGGCTAGTTGGCCGATTGCTGTGGGAGCTCCCCCCTACGCCAGCAGAGGAAGTATGCCTCTTGTTACGGGAACGAGAGGAGGAGCGACGAGAAGATGAGTAGTGCGGAGGGGAGCGACTCCTGGAGCGGCCAGAGCGTCTAAATAAAACAAATAGATTTTTTTTTTAATGTTATAAACAATAGCATACTTCATCTTCCTGAAGTCAGAGTAGGATAAAACATGCTTCATGTTTTTTAGAAAATGTTTAAAAAAAGGAACAGAGTGGGTAGTAACCTTAAACAACCTCTTCCATCACAAATTAAAATGGCCGCCGATCAAATCATAGTGAAAACAAAACCATGTGGGCCTTTTGATTTGGAATGTAAGACGTAGACATAAATATGCCAACAGTGAAACAGCTGTTGCTCTGAAAACCAAAGGACATTCCAGTCAGATATACGCCACTGTTTTCCTCAAAATAAATACCTAAAACAAGGAAAGCTCTGGTATAAATAATAATCTGTCAACTGCACAGTAAAATCACAAGGTGCAGCTCTATTACTTCCACCACACAACTGGCAACTACAAATGGTGACTAGCTTTGTATGATGTGGTGAAAATATGAACATTTTGATTACCTATTCAACAATGTGTTCTCACCAGCAGGTGTCATCTTTTGTTTTGTTTTTTTGTTTCTGCCTTTAAATTTGTCTTTGAAGAGAACAGTGACTTACATCTACTCTAAAGTGTCTGATTTCTACATGAAAAGGCACAAGCAATGGCTGCTGCACCCCAACCTCTTCATGGTAGCCAAAGCTCATGGTTTACTGACATTTTACACTGCAAAATAAAATGGCCGCAAGTAAACCATGCTGTCACCTACTTGTCTTGACACTCCCTGCATTTTTGCACCCTTCAACTTGGAAAACATCTACACACTCTTACAGCCAGCTTCCTTTAAACAGTAAGCAATATTGCTGGAGGTAGATGGGCTTTGCAAGTTCAACAGGTCTGCACACTTTAAACTTACAATGCAGGTTGCTCATGTTTGTTTTATTTGTGGCTAAATAAGTAGTTATATGGGTCATAAAAAGTCACTGTGTGTGTCAGGGCTATATAGGTCTACCAAAGCTAGCCTGGTAGGTGAACTTGTCTTGTGTTCCCTGAAATACTCATCATGACCTCTGATATTTTACACTTCCCTTATCGTGTGTCTCTCAGTGTGGGTGTAAGCTATTTAACTTCTATGAACATATTCCCCTAAAGTGTTTCCAATATTTAAAGGTGCATAGCAACATATACTCACCTAGACATGGGGCTGGTGCTAGAGGACCTGCGGTTACCATAGGGGCTGATGGAGCGTCTCCTGGAGTAAGGGCTGCTGTCCCTCTCATAGCTGGAGGACCTGTGTCTGCTGCCATAGGGGCTGTCTGATCGTTGTCTGCTGCGCCGGGACATATCCCCGTATGGACTGGGGCTCTGCTGGGCTACCCTACGTCTGGAGTAGCTGTCATCCCCCTGCTGCCCATACCCACTGCCCTGCGGACTCTCGCTGCCAGCCCCTCTTCTGGGACTGGGCGAAAGAGCAGAGCTGGTGCCCTTCCTGCGAGGGCTACTCCTACTTGAAGACTTGCCCTTGGGGCTTGACTTGTGGCTCTTGGCGGACTTGCGGTGGCTTCTGTCTGCTCGGCTCCTCTGGGAAGAGCTGCGGCTGCTGCCCTCTCCTCGGCCTTCTTTTCGCTGTTGTTTGTCTTTGCGAGATTTCCCTGAGCGGCTGCTCTCCTTGCTGCGAGATGAGGATGTGGAGGAAGTAGTGCTACCTACACTGGCTGCAGCTGCAGGCTGTACCTGGGTGGAGAGCATCAGCTCCCCACGTTTAGAGTTAGCCTCTGGCTGGACCTGGCGTTTGGATGAGGGCCCTGATGCGGCAGCCTTCTCCTTGCTCTTCCCAGAACTCCCCTTCTCACCGTCTTTGCTGCTCTTTTTCTTGTACCCACGCTCCCCATTCCCAGGGTCTCTAACTTTGTTGGGGTCCTTGGACTTTTTTCGGGAGTGTCTGTGCCCCCTGTTCTCTCTGCTGCCAGCTTCTTTGCCGATATCGTCCCTATCGTAGTCTGGTGAGAGCTCCAGTCGGTCCCCACCCCCCCTCTCCGAAGGCCTGGAGGACGGTGGGTCCGAAAAAGTGTCCGAGTCGGAGCTGATATCATCGTACTCCACCAGAGGCTTCACCGTGTTCACACCAGGTGGCGCCGTATCGCCGAGGGTAAAATATTCGGGTCCCGGTGTCGCCGAGGATTCCCGATTATGTTTGGTTGATTTATGCCGTTTGCGTTTTGAAGAGGAAGAGGACATTTGAGATTTTAACTGCAACTTGCCTTCTTTGCTCGTCTTGTCTCCCGCAGAGGTATGAGTCGGGGCCTGAGTCTGGTGTGGCACACCGATGATATTAGATTCCGGCTTCCTCTTGGTCCCATGGTGTCGGTCCGACCCAGGCATCCCTCACGCCGGCACCTCTCCTGCAATTAGGCCTAGGTGGTCCCGGCAATTCATTCACAGGAAAACAGTAGCTACTCGAAATGCCAAAAACAAAAGTGTTCCTAAGCAGAAACAGGGCAAGAAAATACACAAAATAAACACCAGGCCGCTCACGTCCAGTCCTCCTCAGCGCCGATTCATTCCATTGAGCTCGCCAAAATAGGTCGTCAAAGCAGGAAAAATGCCACGGCGGTTTTCCAGTGCTGTAAAGTATGTACTTTGAATTAGTGAATGAAAAAGATCCCAAAGAAACATCGGAGCATTGTGATGTCGTCTCCGTCTCAATTTAGCTAGCACCGCTAGCTAATGCTCGGCGGCTAGCGAGCAGACTCGTAAAAAAAGAAAAAAGTCCCTTTGTGAAAGGTGTCCTTGTCCGGTGGCAAGTTAAGTAAAGGTGTTTTTATTCCACAGAATTACGGTCTTTGCATTCAGAAACAAGCAAACGTCTTCATTAAAAGACGCTCGTTTCTCGACCAAAATGAAAACTTGACCCGGTTGGTACTGTTTACATGTTCCCTTTAATGTAACTTTTATCCCCTATAAAGTCAATATTGATTAGAAATCATAGTATTTTCGTGTGCAGTAGATGTTCCAGTTTATTATAAATGGCTCTGGGAATCAACCAGGCCTATATTTAGGGCGATGCTAGTGGATTTCATATCATCCACAGCCCTATCAGAAGGAGACTACAATCGCCATTGTGGCTCCTGTGACCAGCAATTTCTGCGCAGAGGAATGAACCGGAAACCGGAACGCTGTCTATCATGGGCGTATCATAGCAACGACCAATCATAACATAGAGCCCGCCTACTGTCCTCGTGGTCGCGACGCAAAAATATCCAGAGACGGAAATAGTTTAAACCAGTCGAGTATTACAGGATTTTAAGATGACACACACACAGCATTGGTTTCATACTTAAAGGAAATGGAGGTATCAGGATCATAGTTTTACATTTAAAACATGAAGGAAGAGGCAAGTCTGGATTACCAACAGGCAAAGTGAGCAACTGGATCAGAGCCATGAAGGCTCCAATGCTACTTCTGTGTGTGATCTGGTTTGTGCTAATTGAAATTTGTGTTCAACATCAACTAGGCCTACCTAACAAACTGTTTTTGAGGCTGGGTCTTGAGGAGGGCCCCTGCGTCAAAATCATAGACTGTATATAGCTCAAAATCTAGTTTTAAGAACTTCTTTACCTCATTGCATATTTCTAAATGAATGTGTTTAATCAAATTATTCCACAGCAAATTACATTTATCCATTTAGCTTATGCTTTTATCTAAAGCACTGCAATTGCTATACATGTCAGAGGTCGCACGGATCTGGAGCAACAAAGGGTTAAGTGTCTTGCACTGAGATACAATGATGGATGTGCCACAGTGGGAACTGGACTCGGATCGCTGACACAAAATGAAAATGTCTTATCCACTGCACCATCACCACCCCAGATGTATGCATTGTACAGAGAGTGGGAGGGGTGTGGGGTTAATAGGAGCCCAACAATACATTTGTACCCTGGGATCCCACACTTGGTTAATCCAGCCATCTACTGTATGGAAGCTTTTTAATGTTGCACAAAGCATTGCATATTATATGACAAAAAACATCTTAAATTGATCTCAAATATCAAGACACGTGTTAGGTCTAGTAGAAAACAGTTTATCAGACTTAGCATCAGTATAACAAACATTTGTGAAGTCTTTACCTTATAAAGTGAGCCATTTGTCAAGTTCATAGCAATGGAAACTGTAATCAAACTTGAGTTGCCACATATGTTATTCTGGATTTGTGTTTTTCCAGTTGGCTTTTGCTTTACAAGGGAAAAAGCCATCAAGTTTCCCTGTAGCTATGTTCTGAACTTATCAACTAGCTGCTAGCTAACGGGAAACACATTTTGCTGACTCATAGTAAAGCAAACAAATTAATAGGGTGACAGCATTAAAATTAGCTGTTGAATGGATGGAAAGTGTTTTTCTATGTCAGCTGAAGCTCATAAATGCATAAAAATAAAAGCTCAAGCACACATTGTTTTTCTAACTAAACCAGGCAGCATAATAGTTTAACCCGCAGCAGCAATTATACAATTATTGTAGGTGGTGTTTCCATCAAAAAGCATTTAAAACAGGTGGGGAAAGAAACATGGGAAACCCATGAGAAAATAAAAAAGTCCCCTCAGTTACATTGTACTTTTTTTTAACGGCTCTTTTTTTGTTTATTTTCTTTAAATCACTTTATTTCCATTTTCAACAAACAACCTCGTTGTAACACTGCATAGACCTTCCATTGTACAACTAAGCAGCATACAACCGAAAGTAAATGAGCAAAAAAATAATTAAAAGTTACATTGCACTCTCCAGGCGACATTGAACTGTTGTCAAGCGTGTGTTCCCCTGTATGATTACGCAGTATGACGAGCAGTCGCCCTGGATGCTGATTGGACCCGCTGTCCAACTGAGGCGTGGCCAACGGGAAACGAGGAAGTGGCGATTCTTCCAGTACTAACAAAGTTACAGTGTTTGAGAAAAATAAGTGCGATAGAAGAGAGTAAATAAACATTTAAATGGTTAATGTGTCATAAGAGGCCAAACCCTCGGCCCCTGTTGTCCTTACAGAACACGATTTTTATTGTGACACAAATTATGAACGCTTTGGCCCACACCTTAATGGCAGGGCCTTCAAGTGGAAAGTGCTAGAAATGCACAAGACAGGCTATTTGTCATTTTAGATATGTTATATGGGGGGAGAGCATCAACTAGCCTACTATACTACACTCACATAGGCTAATTTGTCTCTCTTTGCCTTTTATGGTGTCAAAAGTTTGATCCCAGCCTTCACCTGGGATCAAACTTTTTTAAATACATGTTTTATATATAACGTTAGCCCTGCATCCTCTTGCCTCTGGCCAAGACAGGTTTTCGTGCTACGTGGGATGTAAAGATTCAATATTTATCTTGTAGCCTACTGGACCTGCACTGCGAGGTAAAAAAGGGACCAGCCAACAAGTTGCCTAAGTAAAGTAGTCGTATTTTTTGTTTTGTTTTGTTTTGGCAATACATGCCTCAGCGCAATTACATTATATTTCTTTCGTTATAGGTTACCAGCTCCATCTTAGGCTGCCAGATCCTATTCCTGTCGGGCTTTTGTGTGTGGATGGATGGAAAGCTGTGGGGAGGAGGAGGTGAGGGCGAACCGAGCAGATAAGAGAACTGGCTTATTGGCTGGCTGCTGCTGCCTGTAGCCCATATTTTTATCAGAAACGAGAGGTCTTGACGTTTGTGTTACAGAGCATAAAACAACGACATCGCAACCCAGGAGCTACCGAGAGGACGGTATGATAGTCGTGGAGGGGAAACGGCAGGAAGAGGGCCCATATCTGCATTATACTTCGCCTAAACCTAATTCATTGAGTCGGTAACCAGCGTCCGACATGGGGAAGGAGGTAAATGGTGTTTCTCGGAGCCGGTTTGAGGTGAGTTGACCATCGATATTAACTGACAGGCATTGACAGACATTCAACGTAGCTGTTAAAACGTTTGGATATGGGCCTACGCGGTGATTGTCGCTGTGTTTATTGTAAAACTGCGCTTACGGTGAGCTTGTTGATGCAGCTTCCGCAGTCAATGTTTGGGATTAGGTCAAACGCTGTTGTTTTGCTCAAACAACAGATAGCCTATAGGCCTGGCATGTCATTTCTGTGAGGACACAAATGGGTATTTCACACAAAATCGGACGTGCTGTTCATCAGTAGCTTCAATGGAGGGGTTTTTAAAGGTCCTAAAATGTTGTCCTCGTTTCCCTTTACGCCGTCAAAACAAAGACACTGAGGCTACACGGAGCACGCCGAGGACAGCACACATCTTTATCAGGAAAAGGGATTTGTTGACTTGACTTTTATAAGAAGCCGTAGCCCGAGTTGTCTTATGTCCTCATATCTACTGGGGTGTGTTTTTTATACGACTTTTGTTGGTTGTCTGACGAGTCGCACTGTTGTGCATAGGCTATCCACGGCCGCTGCGGTTGTGGGGGCCTCGGTTGTGACTGCTACACGTACCCCGTATAGCACACAACTATCAACAAATGGGCCCAAGCTGCCACAATGTAGCACACACACCATAACATAAACTGATAGCACAAGGGTCACATGTACACACAAATATAAAGCTACAGTGTTCTGCAGCATTTACCATAAACTTTGTGTCGCAGCCGCAAGCATAGCTGGATATTTTGGTGAAAACTTGTTCTCAAATGCTACGTGTCACAGTCGGTGACATTGGACTGTGTAGCCAGGGCACTTGGTGATGTTTAATCCCCAGCTAGTGTGGGATTTGTGTGTGGTTTTATTTATTTTTAACGGTGCAACAGCTGACGACTCAGAAAATTCAGGCCGTTACCTTCTGGCCCGACAGCTGCGGGAGAGCTGCTGTGTCAAGGTATCCGGATTTGGGACAGGAGAAACGCGGAAGTAGCGCGACATTGCCTTCAAAATAAAGTGAACATTTAACTATTGGTTCACCTACTGTTAGTTTATAGCTGTTAGTTTAAACGGGACTAATTTAGTGTCATTGTTTCAAGTTGTCTAGAATGGGTTATCCGGTCATGGTACCCTATTTTCTTTTAAACTTGTCCATTGTCTGCCAGTGGTAGTTTTACTTTGAAAAGTATTTGCAGAAAATGTCCCTTTTATTCTGTCAGGCTTTACGGCTCTGCGGTATATAGGCTACTGATCTGTTGAATAGGCCTATGCTGCCTTAACAAAAGACTACAACACTCTGATAAGTAGAAAGGCATTAATGACCCCTAATTCTATTTCCTAATTAAAATGAATGTGTAAATTGATTCAACCATATTGTGATTAACATTACCACTATGTTGTGCATAATTGGCCTGATGTAAGAGCTGTTGAAGCAATTTAAACAGCAGGGAACAAATCAATGTGTTGATTGCTTGCTTGTTTTGGGTATTTCATATAGTAGTTGTCCTTCCATTGATGTAGAGAATTTAACTACTGATTAAATGTCAACTCATAGTGTACATCACATTTACAAGTGTTAGACAAATTTAAATGTAATATGAGGAACAACATATTACATTACACAACACATTTTTTTGCTTTACTAGCTCTCTAGCTGGAGGTTACAGCTCACCCAGCTTTATACCTCCTGCCAGGCCTGCTTCACTGACTACAGCTGACCAGTGGAGAAAACATAATGCTCACATTCATGCAGCATCAGGTTCATTTTATGTTCAAGTACAAAAGGGGACAGTGTATGCCCGTTGACCATGCACATCTGGTTCTTTGGAAATGGCCCTGGATTATTTGGCCAGAAAGTAGCGCCATGGAAGGCGAGCTGTCAGAGTCAATTTGCCCCAAATCCAATATATGTAATGTCTGTCCCTTCTTACTCCCTCAAAATTTTACACGTCTTTGCTGGCAGGCAGCCCCTGCATAGACAGCTGTGTGTGTGGAGTTTGTATGTTTATCGGAGAGGCTTTGACCCAGAGCTGACTGGCTTTTTAAACAGGCAGACCTGACAGTTTGTTTTTGTGAGCTGATGAATAGGTTTGTTTAAGTGTGTAAAGGTCCTCAAAATCTGAAGCTATTGTGAATGTGGTTTTAGGATGGGCACTCACAGTAAAAATAGCACAAAGCATACTCCGTTTGGATCCATAAATTATTTCTTTGGTTTAAACACAATAATAACATTTCACATATTTTTCAATCATGGATCCTTCATATTTGTACCTGTAAGGAAGTGCAAATAAGGACTTGCAAATTCCTTGTTGATCTTGTCACAGATGTTTGCCTCTTGTAAATAACATGTGCTTTCCTGCACTTTTTATTTACACACTAAAGCCCCCACCCGTCAATTACCCTGTCTTTGGTTTAGATTTATCTTTCTAAATCTATGGTGGAAAATGGATTGGGACAGATGTTGCTACATTCGCTTACATTCGTTGCGACTGAGTGGATGCTCCCAAATGTCATTGTCTCAACATCTTGCATTTTACAGTCTAGCGGTGAATGATTTCCCTTAAATTATGGGAACCCCAGAGTCATCAATGAGTGGGTGAGTGTTTGAATCTAAGTAGCAGGGTCTTAATAAATGCAAATTTATTGTCTCTTTGCGTACTGAGTTTTTTTTCCTGTGGATTATAGGCTAGTATTTCTGCTCAAACAGCATGCAATTATTTGTGTGGAAATCCATTAGCTGTTAGAAGAAGGTGGAGTAAAAGAGAGTCACAAAAAGACACAGTGCAACTAATTTCAGTGTACATTCTCGGTACATGCTAATGTGGCTCGTGTAAATTCAGCAGTCTAAACAACACAGGAATTAAGAAAGAGAATATGCATGCAGAAAAGATAACATGCAAGCAGTGGCCATCACAGCTCTGAAGCTGACAGTACAAAGTCCGATAAGACACACAATCCAGTCTCCTGTGCTGCTTTATCTTCTGTCACCCTCAGTGTATTCCAAGACTTGAAATGAAATCTATCTCAGTTGATGAGATTACTATAATTTATCCTTGCTTATGTGCTGGGGCCGTCCTTGAGTGAGGTGAGTGGATGGAGGGGGGCCCCAGTTATGTTAAAACAGCCGGCCAGGACTAATCTTATCATCTGCACCCTTTCAGATGTTCACAAACAGCGATGAGGCGGTCATCAATAAGAAGCTGCCTAAGGAGCTGTTACTACGGTTGGTGACCTTTCAAAACACTTCAGACAGAATCTGCAGGGTCATTGCTAGCAAAAATGGCATGTTGCATATTCCACACTTACTTCCCTGCCTTCACTCCAGATCAGCACATCCAGTTATAAAGGCACAATTGGCCTCGCACCACCCTACACCCCCTACACCCCTTAAACACACACACGTTGTGCACCTCATAATCATGTAGTATATGCTCACTTGCCGTTTTTAGCAAATATTTTGACTAAACCAACCACCAGGAGGCAAATTTCCCCTCATTCCCCACCCTACTCTGCTCCCCCAATGCTAAAACTGTGATTAAAAACAGATGCTTGAGGCTATAAAGCATTCAAATTGATTTCAGGTATGAAAAAAGCTCAAGAGCCCCTGAGCAAACAGAAAATGGAGGCCATAACTCAAGCCTCGGCTTTGCCCGCCAAGCTGCCTGTGCTGCGGCTGCTGACTTTGTGCTTCTTGGCCAGGCTCAGCTCCCTGATTTGTGAGGCTGGCAGCCTCTGCTGGGATTCACCGCATCCCTGCTTCAACCCCAGTACAGTTTTTGCTGCATTGAGGGATCTTATAATAAGTTTCCAGCTCTGTTCCTTAGAAGCACTTTACGTGTATTCCCTGCTACGGACCCCTTTTTTGAGTTAACACGTTTATCCTGCAAATAGGGGTAAATACATCTGTCCTGCTGAAAGTCAAAGACAATATTAGCTGATTTACCTACTACACCCCTGTACTGTGAGTGGAAGCAGATGCAGGGCTGAGTTGAGGACAGAGTCTAGTGTAAAGAGGAAGCTTCTGGCAGCGGGGATCAGGGTCTCTAAACCGTCACTGTCTATCTTCCAGAATCTTCTCCTTTCTGGATGTGGTGACACTCTGTCGCTGTGCCCAGGTCTCACGGGTGAGTCTGTGTTCACAAGGTGTGTGTATGCATGTGTGTGTGACTGTGCGTGTTTGTCTGTGTATTTTAAGTGTGCGTTCTGTGTGTGTATGTGGCATGTTTGAGAATAATCCTGACCCTAAACGCCTGTTTCTCCCTCCCTGCTCTCAGTCCTGGAATGTTCTGGCCTTGGATGGAAGCAACTGGCAACGAATCGACCTCTTTGACTTTCAGAGGGACATTGAGGTGAGTGAATCTGATCTCCATCTTCTTTACTCTCCGTAATTTCAATATTTGCTGTGTACCTTTCCCGTCACACCTCACTCTTAATTTGTCTATACTTTATATTGAGACGTAGAAGCAAGTACAGCAGACTGAGTGGCTTGTTTGTGTTGCAGGGCCGGGTGGTGGAGAACATCTCAAAGCGATGTGGGGGGTTCCTTAGGAAGCTGAGCTTGCGAGGTTGCTTGGGTGTGGGGGACAGCGCCCTGAGGTAAGATTTGCAGAGGACTTGGCCTGACAGAAATTCCAGAGTTCTAGGAAAGACCTCGGGGAGGGAGAGACAGGCAAGTTCAGTTTGACTGCCATTGCAAAATGTTTTTATTTCCCTGTAGGACTTTTTCGCAGAACTGCAGGAATATTGAGCTGCTTAGTCTAAACGGCTGCACCAAGATCACTGACAGGTATGTGCATCGTTCTGAGATGCAAATGTATCAGAAAGCCGCTTCTCCTTCAAAACGCTCATCGCCTTTCTCTTCTGCAGCACGTGTAATAGCCTCAGTAAGTTCTGTCCAAAGCTGAAGCACCTGGACCTCGCCTCCTGTACCTCAATTACCAACCTGTCACTCAAAGCTCTCAGGTGTGTAGGGTCAATGTTGTGATGTATACTTGTAGACCACTGAATATACAACATATTAAGGCTCCTTATTCAACACACTCCCAATACCAGCTATAATCCCTCATTGATTGTCTCTGTTAAAGATTTAGAACATTTTAATACATTTGATAATATAAGTGGATTGTACAAAAAGTACTTTATCAGGAAGATTTCTCCAATATTGTGTAATATCAGTGTATATTTTCTAGATTCTCCTCTCTCTCATTGCTGTGTTCTCCTTTTGCAATCTTTTCCCCCACCTCTCACCTGTTCTTTTCTAATTCCCTCCTGTCAGTGAGGGTTGTCCCTTGCTGGAGCAGCTCAACATCTCCTGGTGTGATCAGGTCACCAAGGATGGCATCCAGGCCCTGGTGCGTTCCTGCCCTGGACTTAAAGGCCTTTTTCTCAAGGGATGCACACAGGTATGGTAAAAGGCTTAGTATGAGCTGGAGATGCAGACCAAGGATCATAATGTAGGTGCTCAGAGCACAATGCATTGCAGATGTAATTCAGTATAAAACTTGATTTCTAGAACGTATTATTTAGTTCCATTGTTTCCTTCTTGTGCACTATTCTTATTGCACACTGCACTTATGTACTGTACTGGCACAGGGGTTTTGTTTTGTTTTTGTTTTTTTTGTACGTTTCATCAAAGTGGCCGTCTCTTTCACACTATCAAGTTCCTCTTATTGGATAATCCAAGTAGAACACAGCTGCTGCTACCGCAAACAAAATGCATCACTTCCTTTGCAACAGAGGATGTTTCTGAGCAAAGACGTGCCAGACACGGTTTACAGCAAATGTAAAAGCCTTCATATAGTGCCATCCTGTTGTAACAACACTGACAGCACAGTGTGAAAAGACAACCACGTATTTCTATGAAGATGTCACAGCTCGCTAATTTAAAGGAGAAAACAAATCCCAACATATGCACTCAGTTGCACTTCATTTGGTTATAGTATACCAGGAGGTGTTTCTAATGTATTGAACAACCCTTTATGTCAGTGACAGCAGAGGGGTTTGTTGGGGTAATATTAGTTTGTTTTATTATACATTTGATAGGTGTAGTTTGATTCCAGGTGACTGTCGTCTTTCCTCTGTCATTCTCTTCCACAGCTAGAGGATGAGGCTCTGAAGCATATCGGGGCTCACTGTCCAGAGCTGGTCACACTCAACTTGCAGACATGCTCAGTAAGTTCTGTTTACAAGGCTAGAAGATGAACCTGTTTAATCTTTGTAGTCAGTTAATTATGTTTAAATTGAACGCCTCTCAGAAAAGTACACAACCGCTGTTGGTTACTCTCTAGGGTGTTGGTTGATGGGTACCAAGTACACATACTCTTCAACTCAAAGCTCATTGTCGACGTTCAGCCCATGTAGCCAATAGTCTGTAAAGCCTGCTCACACAGTGCATATGTTTTTCTCTGGCTGTACCTGTCTCCAAAATCCCCCTTCTTCATCATCAATTGAATGTTCTCCTTTCTCCTTTTCAATCTCCACATCTCCTTCTCATCGCACACCTCAGGAACTCATTGTCTCATGTTGCCCCAGTTGTTCCTCCTCTCTTGTTAGGCTGCATTTCATCCTTTCCTCTTGCTTTGCTCTTTCTCACCTGTTCTTCCTCTGCCTGCTCTCCACAGAGTTTTCTTGAGCAATTCTTAAAACAGAAAATGCTGGGGAAAAGAAATTGCTGAGTGTTAACATGAATATATGTTAAGTCATGCATTGATTGCTTTTCATGCATAGCTACCAGTGGCGCCCAGGAAAAGTTGGTATGTTTTCACATCTCACAATGGATGTGGATTTAAGTGACTCCACACACATACATATATATACACACACACAAACACACACTTTCTCTATCTTTGAGCAGCAAATCACAGATGAGGGTCTCATCACAATTTGCCGGGGTTGCCACCGCCTGCAGTCTCTGTGTGTGTCTGGCTGTGCCAATATCACGGACGCCATCCTGCACGCCCTGGGACAGAACTGCCCGCGCCTCAGGTGAATTCACACACACTCACTCCTGCAAAAGCCACTTAAATGTTTCCATTTTGTCTGAAAATTTATTTTAGGCTCTTACTCTCTACTTACCGTTACTTTTAGTCATTGTCCACCTTATCCTGTGAGGCTGATTCACTTCACTGCATTGTATTTCACTTGATTTCAAGAATCTTCTCTAATTGATTGGCCATCTTGATCCTGGCAGACTGAGATGTAAATGACTGAACCTTAGACTTAATTGGAAACAAGTGCTATTCTGTCACACATTTTTGATTTCTGGCATAACAAGCTATTAAGACCCGTTTTTAGATTAGATGGCTTGCAGGAATGGATTTATTTTCTTGGTGTGAAATAATTATCATTAAAGCTTGATTAATTATTTAATCCTGCAGTAAAAATGTAGTTAATAATGGAGATTGTGGAGAGGAATGAATAAATGGGCCTTTCTGCAGTAAGGTTATCTCAAGCCTTACTAATATTGATCCACTAAAAGTCCCAAAGAGTGACAGACTGTGATGCCTTTGTATAACTCTCTCCTCGCATTCTCCTTTCAGAATATTAGAAGTGGCTCGCTGCTCTCAGCTTACAGATGTGGGCTTCACTACATTAGCAAGGGTGAGTGTGGCATCTGCCTCTTGCTTGCATGCACACACATAGACTGATTGCTTACAGATTCAAATGTTTGAAGTTCAGATCACATTTGTTTGTCAGATTTTTTCCCCCCCAAAATCAAATCCCCACAAACCCAGACTACATCATATAGTTTCTCTCTGTTTATTTTCTTCTTTCTCTGCTGCAGAATTGTCATGAGCTTGAGAAGATGGATTTAGAAGAATGTGTGCAGGTAAATAAACAATCTGAGCTACACAAATACTGTTTCCACTGTTATTGTATGTACAGTGCAGTTAAGACATTTGTCTCTTTTTGTGCATCAGATCACAGATGGAACACTCATCCAGCTGTCTATCCACTGCCCTCGTTTGCAAGTCCTGGTGAGTGTGTGCCTGCCACTTAAATGTTGTTTTGCTCCTGTAGCATTTACAAACACCAAGTCACAGCTTGTTCTAGCAGACAGTTGAGTAATGGAGCTCCTGTATTGGCTCCGCTGTGTTCTGCAGAGCCTGTCTCACTGTGAGCTAATCACTGATGATGGCATCAGACACCTCGGCAGCGGCCCCTGTGCTCACGACCGACTGGAGGTGATCGAGCTGGACAACTGCCCCCTGATCACTGACGCCTCACTGGAGCACCTGAAGAGCTGCCATAGCCTGGATCGTATTGAGCTCTATGACTGCCAGCAGATCACCCGCGCTGGCATCAAGCGACTAAGGGTGAGTTGTGTGCGCTTGCAACAGTGAGTAAGCACTGATTTTGTCTGTAGAATGTAATGTAAACACCCATTTTGTGACTCAGCATATGCCACTTTGGTGCAAAATTGGATTCACGGGTCTGTGTCACAAATGCATACATTTTAGTTAACAATGACGTTCAGATGGTTTGGAACTCGTACATGTTTATGCTCTCCATCCTTGGCACTGCCCGTTGGTTGTGTGTTTGGGCTCAGCCATCCAGGCTAGTTTTGAATTGTAGAATGTTATTGATTTAAATTCAGTAGACCTTTTACAACAAAACAGCTTCTCACTGCAATCTCGGAACTCATTGGCTATTGTCTTGTGATAATTTAGCTTTTTATCTATCTCCGAGCCCTAGAGATTAGATTTTTATTAGCTTTTTAAAAAATCATTGTCAGTCAATAGCTGATTTCCGAGATTGCTAATCAGGCTGTAAACGATGACTATATTCGTTGGCCACATCGGAAGCTCCAAAACACAGATGATAGTTGATTTTTTTTCCAAGATTGACATCCCTGCCACTGGTTTCACACTATTTAACAGGTAAACGGGCAGTGGGAATGCACCAAGGAAGAATGTAATGTGTAAACAGCAGTTTTCAAAATTAAAAAAAATGTTTTGCAAATGTTATGAAGAAGGACACATTTGTAAGACCTCAAGGACACCCACAAGAAAACTTCACAAGGCACTTTTAGTTCCTTAATAAAAAGTCTGTATAATAATACAAACTCATGGCGGACGGTGAACTTCTTAGCGACCTGTGAAATATATATATATATATCAGGTGGGTGCAAAGTAACAGTGTTTCTGAGGAATTCAGGTGATTTCCATTGAACCCAACATAAAATTCAAGATGGCACATCAGTGCTGCCACTGATGGATAGACTGATGTGATGTAGCTTTTGGCCACAAGTTGTAGTTCTGATCATAATCCTGCTGAGCAGCACTACAGTCTCCGAGTGAGGAAGTAGGAGTTTAAGTGGACCAGAGTTTTAAGTGATAAGCAGTATGACAGATGTGGATTGCAGATACAAAGCCACATATGTTTGGATTTGTTTATGTTTGGATTTGTTTAAAATAGCTAAACAGAGATTTTGTTTACTGAAAACAAATACTTGTCCTATTAGTCCGATGAAGGAAGCAAGGAGGAGAATATTCTAGATAGATGTCATATTCATATATTTTGTCCAAATTAAACTCTTGTGTTGGAGTCATAGCTCCACACCCACAAGAAGTGATGGATCAAAATGAAGTACAAACTAACCAAACTAACTACAAACGGTCTGCTCACCAGCAGTGAGTGAGAGAACTCTCATCATTTTGATATAAATCAATTACAACATGACCGGCATGGACAACACAAATTTGTTGTCAATAACTGTCATCTATTGACATGTGACATGATTTCAGGGTGTTGAAATTAACATTTTCAGTAATTTACATGTTGTAGCAATGATCTTTTAAGCTTTCCAAGTATTTGTATCATCCATTAACAGATTTCTATTTATTTTTGCTTCTCTTCTCTTCACAGACCCATCTGCCTAACATCAAAGTGCATGCATACTTCGCTCCCGTCACTCCGCCCCCCTCCGTCGGAGGCAGCCGTCAGAGGTTTTGCCGCTGCTGTGTCCTGCTATGATGTAAAGACAACAACCCCTCCCTTTCCTGTCCCCGTGTCCCTCGTACACGCTCCTCGCAGCCCATCACTTGACCCCTGACCTGCTGTCCCCCTACAGGCCCCCTGTCATAGAGTACATGCTGGTGTGTCCCCTCCCCTTTGGCGCTGCAGAGAGAGGGAGAGAGCCAAATAACGCTACAGGGTCTCGGGTAACTTTCCCAAAAAAACATTCCCGATTCTCTCCACAACACACATACACAACGAGCGTTTACACATGCTGTTATGCAGACACGCGTACAAATACACAGATCAACTCTTAGGAGAATGTCAGAACATTCCTGGTCTGTGATCAATAGACAAACCAGTATTACAAAGAGGGTTATGTAAAAATCAAATGTGATCACCACCGTTAAGGGATTTAACTCTTCATCAAATGAAGTGCAAAAGAATTGTTTAAAGAATTACATCACAAGACCATTGTGCCGTATTTGAGAGGGAGTTACACTCTTAACTTATTTAGTACTTTGAGACTGATTACAGTTTTAGCCTTTAAACAGAATATTGAAAAGGTCAAACCTCTCACACATACTTCCCTCGGTGTTGAAGGTCACTTAACCGCTACCTCTAGACGTGAACTGCACTTGAATTTGACCTGTGATAGCCTTGTTCTGCAGGCTGATAATTTTTAAAAAAGGGGCAGCGTTGCAGCCAGTAAACTGCGACACCCCCGACTCACACATAGAAAGCAGCAGAAAGCCTAGTTTGTGATTTTCTTTTTTAAAGCATACCTGCAGCTCTTTGCACTTACAGTAAAGCAATGATGATTACAAAGACCGCCATCTCAGAATTTAAAACTGGCATTTTACTAACAACACCAATACAACATGTATACACTGGGCTTGCTACACCTGTACCCTCACCTCTCTCTGTCTCTCTGTTACAATCAGAAGCTTCAGTATTGTGATGGGGGGGGGGAAGACAAAGTTGAATATTTTTCTAAAATGGACATAAATTAAGACTCACAAGTGGGGACTTGAGAAGATGCCAAATGTTGCATGTAACACCTCTAGTTTTTTAAAATCTAATTGTAAATATTTGAGGACTGTGGAGTCCCGAGAGTGGAAGCCAGCTAAACCACAGGAGCCGATATGGGATGGGGCAGAGATTGCTGTCGATGGGTCTTTCTGAGAGAACTATGTTGAAGCTCACACATGCTTGTTTAATTACAGATGTGTGTTGGAATATGTGCTGGAGCTCTGGACAGTCAAAATGAGCTGGTACTTTATCAAGAGTTTGACGGATGAACTGATGCTGGCCTGTGATAGCTCATGACAGCAAGTATATGAAAGTGGAAAAAAAAGTCTGTCATCACTACATGACTTCATGCTGTCAGACATTGACAATGGAAAGAAAAAGCCAACTGAAAACAATCAAAGTAAGTCTATTTTTCAGTTAGTTTGATTTCATGTAGTTGCTCTTGGTTTAGCATTGGTGACGATTCTGTTGACAAGGAACTGGCGAACCACATGCAGCGTTGGGAGGACATGCCCGACGACGGAGTGGCATTGGCGACTCCTTGTCTCCTATGACGCCTTGCAGGGGACAGAGTGACAGCGTGTCACACCCTGCCACCTGTGACCTCGTCAGTCTGTCTGGGATCTGCGATGCTGCCGGAGGTAAAGACAGGATCAGACCAGTGGAGTCACTGCAAGAGAAAGTCGACTGAAACGCACAATTCTGGCCTGCTGATGGATTTGATGGAGTCATTTTTGTCACAACAGAGGGCTATAATGGACTTCAGCCCCCGCCCTATGAAGTATTGAAGCCTTTTCTTATGGATTATCTTCTGCACTTGCACCTGCTTTTTTGTCTCTTTTTCTTCCCATTTCATTTTATAATTGTCTTTTGCTGCTTTTCTTTCTGATTTCCTCGGGATCTTTATCTTTTCTCTCCCTTAGCATTTCTGTTTTGGTGTGGTTTGGATTGCGCCTGCTTTGTGTTTGAGGTCACGAGCTCAGTGTCTCCCAAGTTGAGTTTGCGTCCTCTTCCAGTCCTCAGTTTTGATCTGATGGTGTTTGTGTTTTTATTAAGAGTTTATTGTTACTCAATGTCCAGAGTGTAGCCTTTGTCCAGGGGAAGCGCTGGCGCCAGTGCAATTGTAATAAATGTTCAAATTTGAGTTAGATTTTTTAAAATGTTGAGTTGAGGAGGAGTTCACAATGACATTTATGATGTAGGTTGTACTTATTGAATGTTTCCATCAAGGAGAAGTCCTCAGGATGACTGTTCAGGCATTGTGTGCCACGTTAGCAGAATCGGATTTTTCTCCCATAAGCGTGCTTTCCTCTCCTTTATTTTCTTTCTTTTTTTTTATGCCTTGCTTTTCCAAATACCCCCTCCCATAATGCAACCTTCCTTAATCCATCAAACATGACAGAAATTGGCAAACCCAGTGTGGAACGCTGATCACTCTCTCAAATGTCCCCGTTCTAGTTTAAGATGCACGCCAACAGGCAAAACACTGAATAATGATTGTGTATAGTTTGTGATTTGACAGCTAAGGCAGGCAGGATAATACAAGCTGAGATGAACCCAGTGTAATCCAGTCTGATCTGTTTTGTTTGAATGGGGCTTTACAAGGGATTAGGGAACAACTAAGAGTCAAAATGGCGGAGATATCTAAAGTACTCTGGTACTGTGATCCGGGGTTAAGACAGTTAACTGGAGGAAAAAGGAAAAGTCGGAGGATTTGGACTATGAGCCTGTTTGTAACACCTGCTTTCCCTCTTCATGCACGGGCTGAGTCTTCAGTGCAGTGGACATGTGCTTTTATGGCAAATACTTTGAATGGATTACAGGTAATAATACTCAACCCGCTCTTGATGGTTTTATATGTACAAAAGAAATAACCTGTCATCAGTCTTTTCATGGTACAAAATACACTACAGGCTCTACAAAGCTAAACACCAGACTTAATTGCCTCACAGTTTCAAACACCTCTGTGTCCTTCTGTCAGGCCTTCCACCAGTTCATATGGAAGTGAAGCCACTACGTTCAGGATTAGTTTGTTTCATACACATTAGGTCCCAAACACTGAAGTAAGGTTGGGGATTAGGACAGAGGGCGAATCTACAATGTGTGTACAAGGCAGATTGACACCTGAGAAATTTCAAAAACAATTTTGACAATGACTGTAGTTCATATAATTACTGTAAATCTTTTCCCTTTTTTCCTTTTCTTTTTGTTTTTTTACAATTAACTGATATAAATGAATATGTACGTATGAATAAATATATACCTATATTATTAAGACTTGTCTGGTTTTCTCTCTGGTATTGAACTTCTGCTGTTTGTTTCTGCTCATTGTATGATGGTGATTTAGCTTATTGGAGCAGCAGATGGCAGCAATGAGCCAGTTGTAATGATTCTTCCTTCACTGGTGATCTGATTTTTGCTCTTAACGTTTTTTTTCTTTTTCCTTCATTTAACATTTAAGTTCCCAATGAAGTCTTTTTTTTTTTCTTTCTTTCTTTCTTTCTTTCTTTCTTTCTTTCTTTCTTTCTTCAAAAGACCGGGTCAAGAAAGCATCATCAAAACACCTGCTTTGCATTTACTGGAACTATGGAAAGAGGTTCCTTAATTTAGGTGAAACCACAGGGGGTTGTATGCAGTGTTTCTGTGTCTCTTGCAAGATTAATCATGGTATGCAGTGAATAGATAAAGAATAGGTTCACAATTTCTCAAGTCTATCTAATAGTCAGGAGCTCATATGCACATCAAAGCAGCTTTTGCTTGATGTAATTATTTCTCCTGTTCAAACTGGCCATTAAAAGATGCATTTCTAATCCAAAGTAAGTAATGATGAGCAAAATCCACAGTCCTCTTTCCACAGTGCACAAACACAGCTAATCACTGACACTCAAAGGTTGCTTTGCTCATCTGCAGCACAAATGGCAAAAGAGCTAAACCTTTATCCTATGGGTCTCTGGTTGAAAATGTGACTTTTTGAGACATGAGAGACTTTTGGGACTCTGTGCAGAGTGAGTTCTCTATATTTGTGTATGCGTACGTACACGTGTCTGAGGCGAAAGCACAGATGAACAATTAGTATCAAATTATCCCAGTGACTGCACCATGACGACCGCTGTCACGGCTGGGATCTGTCTTCCGCCGCATGGGACTCATTTTGTTCCTCTCATCCTCCGGTTGTTTCCCCTGTCTCTAAATCACTGACAGATCAATGCGTTTTCACTTCTGTTTTAATGTTCATTTTTAGCAGCCTCGTTGCAGCACCTGGGGTATCACATGGAGGATGAAAGCTGGGTGGGAAAACAGGGAGGCATTTAAGAGTGTGTGTGTGTGTGTGTGTGTGTTTCCCTCCTTCAGGAAATCTCTCAACTGTGTGTTTTCTGTGTTTGAATACAGACTGATCAGATCACAGCTCACTGCACACCGCCCCACCAAGACTTTGTGTTTCTGTTTATTTTTGACAGCAAAGCCACTGCTATAAATGAGAAAACTTTTGACTTGGCTTTTGTTTTTTTCTTTTCTTTCAGCAGTCACTTTGCTATCTGCTGTGCCCTTAGTCTGAGTGAAGCAATAATTAATGTGATAACTGAGGCTTTCTCTCTTTGTCTTCCTTCTTTTCTCTAACACAACCACGCCCAAAGACTTTCTGACAGCTAAGAGCAAACTTTGATGTCAGGCTTATAGGTGAAATAATGCAATGCTGATAAAAATATAAGTAAAACTTTAATCCATTTAGAAGTCTTTCCTCACTGTGAATTGTGCAGTATTGGCATAGAGCTCACTCTACTTAACTCTCCCTGTCTTTTACCTTTGTCTGGTTAATACAAAAAAGCATTGGCTGTGACCACAACCTTATTGCTTCATTCTCTTTCATCTGAAGTATACATGCTCTAAAAGGGGCAATCAATAGAAACCCTCCCCAGGAGGCTGGTAAAACCAGGTAAGAATAAGATTGCATTTGAAATCAGTGGAGGTACCAATCCTCTGACTTTATTGCACCTGTTTTAATAAACAAATGATATGGACCCTGGCGTAGCTCTATAACTCTGCAGGGCAGCACCTATGGTCGCTATTTTCTGCATTGGGTGCTTGAGCGTGTGGCAAATGACAAGGAATGAATGATAACAGAGTAAAAGGTTGCCTAAAAACTAATTTTATAATGCACCCCTCCCAAAATACATCAGACAAGACAGAAATTGAGGAACACAGTGTGGAATGTTAATCAGTCTCTCAAATTGCAAAATCTCCAAAAATTAACACAACCTGACAGTAGTCCAGCTCATCCCATAGGCCTATGGGGTACTTTTTCCGCCAAAGGAGAAGAGTATTGTTCTGACTCATAGCTTCATCAAATATGATGTTCTGCGAAAACATCCTCCACCCATCTTTTTCATTACTTTAACATTCTTCTGACATTGTTTCATAATAATGACATACCTGATTTTACTTTATGTTGTTTGCTTATATGTTATATAATAATATAATAATAACTATTATTGCATTTTATGTGCTATATAGTGTCTATAGTGTCTATACGCCCCCCCCCCCCCCCCCCCTAGCCTTGTAAACTTGTGAGATTCAGGTCTTTGTGTTCTTGTATCTTTGAATTTATAATAAATACCAGATGGTATCATTAATTGACATGTTGGAACGTGTTGCAGTTGTGTAGTTACAAATACTTTTCAAGTATTTTGAGTAGAACACACAGTATAACTAGCACTGTGCAACTTTGACTCAAAAACAGGGCGGGAAATGCAGATGGGACATCCTGCTTTTAGTACAAACACTCGTCACTTCAAAGAGAAAATCAGCTCTCTGTTTGCAAATTGTGAGCTATTCTATATATTTGGGCTTAAAATAACCCCCCGCCCACGACTGTGAATCCCGATTTCGTCTTAATGAATCCTGGCAGAGTTGTAAAAATTGCCCCAATCATGCACCTCAGACGCACGGGAAGGCGTGCCTCAGATTGCACTTAAATTTAAGTCTGTGCAGTGGTGAAGGACACAGTTCGCTATGGATTTACATCTAGCCAGTGCCTTCCAGAGCGCACGCTTTGTTTGGATCTTATCATAATAAGCTGATATTTCCACATCGATGTTTTGCTGATTTGAACCTTTTTTTGGGCGGAATTGTGCCATACTGGAGCATTATCAAGGTACAATAGGCTACAATAACCCATAGCCTACGCGAGGCTCAACCTTTTCTGAATGCTTGTCCTTGCATGACATGAGCAAAACATAAACAGCTGGTGTGTATGTATGTTTAGAAAACGGTTTAATCAACCTATACGCGTGCAATTGGTGTGTGGAGACCAAATGACCATAAGGCGTCCACCTTGCAGTGCGCACAAATTCCTGTGATGTGGATCTGTCACACTTTGTCAAGCTGTTGTACGGCCAAAGCCGGAGGTTTCCCACCTATTGGACACAGTTTTAGGAGTTGAAAGTATTTTTTTTTTATATATAGTTTGTTTCTTGAACGACTCTTTCCATCACTGTATCAATGATGACTGAGAACAATGAGATGGAGAGCGACTCGCAGCTCCAGCGCTCTCCAAGCACCATGTCCATCCAACCGATGACATCCAAGGCAAGTACAATTTTGAACTTTGTTCCGCAAACTCAGTACACTCATCTCTAATTACCTGTCATGCTCGAATCTCTGTAACGAGTTGAAATAAGATACTCAGATTCAAGTGATGAACTTTGCAGAGCAGTTTCCTCCACAGAGGCTTCTGACAGCAAAATGATTGCAGACTCAGTAAGAAGACAGACTCTTTACATTTTTTTCACCTGTAATTTTGCTGTCTTTTATTCCTCTAAAGGGATTATTCCGCCGGTTTATGTAATATTGATGACAACACTTCACAAATGCAGTTGTATTCATCATGACTGCGTCACTAGGTGTAACCTCACACGTAAGGTCTGATGTCACGCTGTCTCCCCCTTTCTGTCTGCCTCTCCAAACGCACTTCCTGCCCGCACACACAAAAACACACACATGGTTACATTTAATGCTTTTTAGAAATGTATTTATTATTGGTAATTATTTGCTTTTTGGTGATTACTGTAGGTCTATCAAATAACCATTTCTCCAATGCTGCAAGACGTCTGTACTGAAATAATTATAAATGGTCATGTTTATTAATACCTGCATTTTGTGCCTAATATGCAGAACTACATTCTTTATAATGTAGGCCTGCCTGAGCCTTACAAAGTGTCCTTATGATTCCATTTAATTTGTTGACATGAATGTATAAACAAAGATTTCAAGGGCTGGCTTCCAAGTGCAGGAGCTGTGAAAGCTTTCTCACTGCCTGCTTTTTAATGGAAGGCTTTTAGGACACTTGATTCATTAGGCCCAAACAAATGATACAACTTTCCCTCAACTGTCTTTATCTGCACCTCATGCCTCCTCACGCCGCCCACTCACAAACACAAACATGCTGTGGACATGTTTGAAGCACAGTGACACAGTCAGATACTTTACCAGCTGATAGCCTTGGTTCTTCATCTAAATATTTGATGTCCTTCGTGAGAAGCATGAAAGAATGCATTGTTGCGAGACATTTTATCACCAATCTCTCCAGTGTGGTCCACCCCAGTTCCCCTCTCCTCACCAGCTGCTACTAAAGGAAATTGGGAAATATTCTGAGCCAAGCAGGACTGTTTGGTATTCACATGATTCATTGGCTGCTCCGGCTTCACCACATCACAATCATTTATACCACAAACTCAGTGGGCTGGCATTCAGTCACCAGCCTGGTTCCTCTTCCCCTACTGCTCTCCCAATCGAGTCAGGCTGCACTCATTGAAGGTTAATTGTAACATCGTTTGAACTTCCTTAAAATACTCAATAGCTCCCTCCGACTGGATGGTCAATGTGATTTTGCAACCATATAGGAGTCTATTAAAGGGAAATTTGGCACATTTCATGTGGATGTCCAGTCAGTGTTGATGGTAAATGCAGTCATTTGAAGCAATAAATTCCTCAGTGCGTGCCATATTGAGCAAGAAAGCTGGGTTTGCCAAGAAGTTCTTCCTGTACAAAGCGGCGTCTTTTGACATGACAGTAACAGTTGGTGGCACGGAAAAATATACAGGCTACAGGCAATCATTTTGGATTTCTCGCTTCCACCTCTCTGCCAGGGTGTGTGCTATAGATGCCACTCAAAAACAAAACTTACTGGTTATCTTTGCTTATATTGGAAACTAGCTCTTATGTTTCCATCATCGAAAAGAAATCTAATCAGACTCATAGCCATGTGTCCATGATGTTTTTAATTTGATAAGTATGACAGGGAGCGAGAGAGGGAGCGACTCTCTGATAACAGATGCTCCTTGAAATTCACCAGCAGAAAATCTCCCACAAAGATGGATATCAGAAATCAGGAACAGAGGAAAACAGTGTCAGAGGATTAAGAGGAAAGGAAGCATGGACTTTCTCCCTGGCTCCCAACAATGTATTGTGGTCTATTGCCAAGGCTGGCAGAAATGTGAGTGGTGGAGCCGATGAGATGCCTGAGCAGCTATCATCAGCCAATAGTGTCCCTTTTTGTTGAGAGCTGTTTGATCTCCCACTGCTGTTGACGCTTTGGGAGCCTTTTCTGTGATGGAAGTGCACAGTTAACCATCTCTTTCTCCAAAATGAGTGCAGTGCACAAGACAGTCTCTGCCCACAGAGAAGACCGAAGACTCTACACAATGCTTTTGGGAGATTGTCTCATCTGTCAGCTTGCCAATTGTGTAATGAGGACATCACAATTCATCCATGTGTCCCCTTCGGATTCTTCACCCAATCATTTTCACTCAATGAGAGCACTTAAGCACACACACACACAGCTAGTTGAGTGATAAAAGGTGACTAGCAATGCCTACAGCGTGAAAATAAGAACTTGGGGCAGCCCCAAAGCTAAATGACAAATCATCGTGACCATACTGTCTGTGGCCAAGTCTAGCTGTTTTGTGAAGGAGCCATTTCACTCTGATACTTCACACTAACACTTGAACACACAGTATGCTTAGTGATGGTAGCTTAATCCGAAGGAAAACAGCTTTAGGTGTTGGTGTTTTTTACTCTTACTGGCATTTTCATTAAATATCCAGGAGAAGATGGTGTAAGCAGACACGGGGGACATATAGAGAAGGGTCCCCAAATTAACGGGAAGTTGATTGATTGAAATTGATTGATTTTCTTTCTGTGAATCATATTGTGAGGATATAATCATATTGGGTTATAGATACATAAAATGCTGCTGTGCAACAATTGTATAAGACCAAGGTAACAATATTGTATATGTAGTATTGATGTTTTTACACATTTGAAGAGTTTTGTCTCATGTACTGTAGAATTGTTCATTGCCACACTGGATTGAATACCACTTATGTACAATACACATCAATATCAGGAAAAAAAACCAAATGTCTATACACCCATGCCAGCAGCTCTGTGAGGGTGTGCTTAGGCATAGTGTTGCTTAGAGCAAAATGTAAACATGCTAATACTCGCAAAATGACAATGCTAAGATGCTGATGTTTAACAGGTACATTGTTTACCATGTTGACTGTCAACTGTTTACTTAATTCAGGTTGCTAATTAGTACTAAGAACAGAAGTGCAGATGAGGCAGATGGGAATCAAATTAAAGTTTGACCTGTTAATGATGCAAGGAAAAGTTAAGGGATGACGTCACACTACTAAATTCTGTGCCAATCTATCTACAGTATTTCACAAGCTAAGGGAAAAGTTTGACCTGCTGGTGATGCTAGAATAATAGCCAGGAGGATCAGCAAATTCAGTAGCATAGTAGATTCATTATCTAAGGACCATGAATACCTGGGCAAGATTTCATGGCAATCCATGTAATCATTTTTGAGATTTTTCATTCTGGACCAAAATGACCGAACAACCAACCTACCGACGGCTATCGCCATCCCTGCAGCCAAATGTTAATTGTTTCATCTGCAGTCGCTCAGTGGTGAATTCTGATGTCTGTGCTGTCATTTCTGAACTACAAGGTTTACCGCTGAGTTAATATTCCAAGATGTCTTTGAAACCAGTCCTTTTCACATCTCATTAACTGCCACTTCACTTTCTCTTCAGATGAAAGGGGGTGACACAGATTTAAGTGATGTGAGCAGGGGAGTAAGTAGAAGAGAGAGACTGAAGTAGGCCAAGGTCTTCATTAATTAACACCTTCACTGCTGTGATGTTTATTGATGTGACACAACAGTGAAAGGTGTGAGCTCTGAGACTAGAAGGCTACAAGTAGCTTAAAAGATCATTGGATGTAAATATTTGCTCATCGCTGACGAGGGAAGAAAAGTACCTTTCAGAGAAATGTATTTATTGATGCTCCTTCAGAAATAGTAGCCCAGCACCGCCATCCCCCCCACCACCCCTGTCCAAGACTGACAGCCATTGTGTTTCGCTTCGGGTTTGAACAGTGATTGCGTTAAAATGGGTGGATGATGAGCTGCCAGAGGAAAGCTACACGGCGGGGCTAGCTGAATGTGTGCAAAGAATTCTACTGCGCTGAGGAAAAAGGTTGTAATCCACACTACTATTTCACACAGTGCGTCCCCCCCATTAAACAATCATAGAGAGAGGGGGAAAGAAGTGTGTATGAGCAAGCGCGTGAGTGACTGCATGTGCTGCGTGTGCACATGCATGTGTGATAGGAATTGTATGACTGAAGCAGCCTGTGATTATGCATTTGCACGCTTTGCTCAGAGATTCAGTGTGTGCTATTTTTGTGGTCTTTGTCTGTGATTTTCGCCATGTTTTGTCACTACAGAATAAAACTACCAGGCTGTCCTTTAACCTTCTTTTAGCTAATAATAAACTGCCCAAAACAGTTGAAGCCACACAGCAAAGGTGTAAATAATTATATCCCTAAATACATCATGTTCCTGGTACTTGAGGAGGAAAATTTCCTATGAAACCACATGTTCCACTGATGACCTAGAACTGGATTGAGCCAGGAAACTGTGTTTTTCACAACACGGTTACACCGCCGTTATCCTTTTTAAGGCAGAAATATCCTCACTTAGAACAAGGTCGGACACTGTGACGTCAACCTTGGCAAAAAAAAAGACAGAAAACGAATTGTGCACACTTTTTTATAGAGTGACTAGCCTTAAAGTTGGGGCACAAAGCTCTAATGTGTGTGAAATTACAGGTTACAGAAAGTCAAATATTGCATTTATAGGTCACCTAAATGCACTTTGTTGAAAGCTTTGACACTTGTCATTTAAAACCAGGGAGTGGGGGTGTATCTCTTCAAAATTTCTGCTGCAGTTCTTCTCTTCTGCTGCTGACAACACAGATGTGATTGACACAGTTCATTAGTGAACACAGACTACACCACTTTTTCACCAAAGTTCAGATTGTTAAAAGAGAGAGTGTATATTTTGACCTTTACAGCCTTTAAACAAAGACACAGCTGGAGTTAATGGATACGTTTTTCCATTTTAAATGTTCTCTACTGGTTGAATAATTTATTATAGTCCACACTAAAGCATATTAGAGCAACATGCTGTATTTATAGTCACATTCCCAGTGGCACCAAGACTTTCTTGTTCAGTCTTGACCTCTGGACAGGCTGGAGCATCCCATATATATCTATAGTGTGGCCCTTGGCCCCATTAAATTCTGATGGAGGGAGGAAGAAATTGAATTATGATTGCTCAAACCTTGCTGTCCCTCTATGGAGCATTGATTTTGCACAGTTAAGTTGGCTGCATGAGAAAATGACTGGGTGTTGGTATATGGATCGAAGATCGAACAATTATGGGCTTTTACAGGTCCACTGAGGCAGCATGTCAAAATGCAGCAGTGTGATTGGTGCTGCTTGAAGAATATTGACTGTGCAGGTGCATGTAAATTGGGACGATGTTATGCATTTTGCATGGCATTGTGAGTCATTTCTGAATTGTATGAATAATTTGTTGAGAGAGAAACATCAGCAAGCTAAGCCATACCCAAATGTGTCTTTTGGGGGACAGCAATTGAAAGGCTTTACTAAGAACTAACTCAGAGGTTAGTAGGGAAATGAAAGAAGACTGATGCCGTTTCCTTTATACTTGAGGCATTGTCATGAAATTGCAGGGAATCAATAATACATAAGGAACTAAATCATCCATCACAAGCAGAGTATCATCTGTGGAGTAGCTTGGGTCACTCTGTCTCATCTTCATCGGCATCTCACCTGTCACAAAAAAATCATGTGACATGATACGCATGAATGGAGACTGTGTGCACTGATGACCCGAATCGAAGGCATTATCACACTGGCTTTGACTCAGAAGTATGACACTCTCAGCTAATGTTCAAGCTAACGGGAATGCTTTTTAGGCTTGCAAACTGACAGATGATTAGATGAGCTGTAATTGAGACATGTGCTCTAGCCAGAGCCGTTATGCCAGCACTCATCTGCTCTGATTGAGAGAGCTCGGCTCATGACTGATGCTGCACAGAAATGGAGCTGTGTCAAGGCATTGTACCATTAACAAACATGACTAAACCATGCATGATAAGACATTTGTCATAAAGAGTTTATAGGTTGTAATGGTTAATTGATTGTTTGTTAATGTTTTATAAATCAGTAAAAAGAACAAGATTTGGATTACACATAATTTTGGCTCAAGCTGTTTTATTCACCTTGATGATTTACTAGACAGTGAGAAACTCTTGAATCTTCATTAATGACATACTAACATTTATAACTACAGGATTTATATATTTTTTGAAAGTGAAATGGTCATGAGATCTATAAACTATCAATGAATGTTGACAAAATAATCTTACCCCCACGGCCATTTGTAGCTTTCTGGAGCTTTCGATTATATCACACAGTCTTCATTAGCAGATGGAGTTTGCCCAATAAATTTTTGGGATGTTCATATTTTTCGGACCACCAGAAGAGCGTGAAAGCGCAAGTTCAAGAACCATAAATATGTGCAAACGTTTTTAAACACACACACACACTAAACAATTTCATCCAGTCCACGTATCCCAAACATCTACATGCACAAGGAGTACTGAAAACATACTGCACATGCCAACAACACATGTTATTGCCATAGGTATGAATCAATGCTGGTAGATTACACTGAGGAACTCTGAGTATTCTACCAGAGAGAAAAAACTGGAAAACAGAGTCAAGGACATGAGTCAGACTGACAACATTTTCTCGCACCCACACCTATTATAGCAATATAATGTAATATATTAGTCTGCCCAAGCTTGTCTTCATCACCATAATCTGATAAAGGGAAATTTATAATGGAGATTTATAGGAAGCATATGGACTGTGCAAACTTGTACTCAGTAACACATGAGTTTTGTTTCTCGTGCTCTACTTCCACTTGTCCCAAACAAACACACACACACACACACAAGCTCAACTAGACAAACTGTTTTCATATCTTATTCCCAGACACGCAGAGCTGTAAACAGCATGTCCCTGTAAAGTGATTATGTTTGGCGCTGAGCAGAGCGAGCGCAGACAGGCTGACAGACAGAGCGTGTGCACACAGAGTGTCTTTGGCCTACTGATTATCTGTCTGCTTGTCTGTCTGTGTTGATCCATTCTTCCCCTGCGACACGACCACGCCCTTGCACTGCTCTCCCTCTGCCGCTGCATGTCAGGGTAACAAATGGCCACCTATCCCCCAGGAAGCTAGTACACAGAGCCGGATGGAAATGTCAGTACACACGCATTTATCTAGCCAATCAATGCTAGATGGCTGAAGAGTGCAGAGCTTAGAGACTGAAGTGAGGTTCATGTCGTCCGTTCAGCTTTTGAAATGCACAATTGTTTGATCAATACAGCTTATTAGATACAAGCACGGCTCATTATTTCAGTGTACATGAGACAGGGTATGGGCATGCAAAAAATATGTTGCATGTTGTAGGCATGTGAGTTTGGACCTGTGAGAAGGGATCCATCGGCCCTGTATGCAAACCTGTGGCAGGATCAATCGGTTCAATGAGCAGACTCCTTCCGACCAAGAGCCATGAAGATAAGGCTGTGTAAACTGTCTTGTTTCGGGTCGTTGTAATTGCCCCCCTGCCACTACTAGCAAGGAAATTCCATTTGCACACAGCAGTCCTCAATGTATGGCCATGGGTGTTCTCAAAGAGAAAAGGCTTATCTTGTTTAACCACAGGCCAAATACACAAGCTGCCCTGTTAAATGTGACTGTGCAAAGGATGTGATTGGTCTCACTGAGGGGAACACACAGAAAGCTTTGCTATTAAAGTGTTGTTTCCTTGTGAGTCACCCTCTTTCCACCATTGTGTACAGATCAGAGCAGAGTGTTGTGTTTATGGGTGCTGGAATATTGCCTGTGCTGCCCTGAGGGTGTGTGTGTTGGACATTTATTATTGCACCCAAATGTGGCACGGCATTTTCCCTTATCTTGTGTTTATTCTCTTGTGTACCCTCTTTTTCTGTGTCTCTGTCAATGTGTGTGTGCAGCTCCAGAGACTAAAACGCTCTCTATCCTTCAAGACCATGATGCGCAGCAAAAGCGTGGAGAACTTTTTCCAAAGGTCCTACAGCGATGCTCGCCTGCCCCCGGATTTCATCACGGACCCACCGCCTCCTTCTCCCCCACTGCTGCCTGGCTCTCCTCTCGTCGGCGACCGCTCACCATCCATTTCACCATCTCTCAGCCCCAACCCCTCCATTTCCTCCCACTCCCCTTCTCTAAGCCTCTCCCCATCACTGCCCACCAAGCCTCCCCGACCTCAGATTACCCACTGTTTCCAGGACCATGTGTTTCGCAAGCCCACCAACTGCCAGCACTGCAAACACATGATAGTGGGTAAGGTGCTCAATCTACTCCCTGGACTCTCTGTGCTTTTTCAAGCCTGAAGTTGCAGTTTTCACAGGATTTCTGAATAGAATAGAAGATATTCTGAAGAGAATCACCTATTGTGCTAAAGACATTTAACATTGTTATGTAGGAACAATGTATTATTACTGCACAACACGTTCTAATGCCCAACTCGCCACATATGGAGGCTTGGTCAAGACCCCTCAATCATCACATTTAAACTCACTGGGTACCACTTTTAGCTTTGTTTTTGTATGCGCAGGGCTCTGCGGTCATGTAAGCAATAACGAATATGCAATATATGGTTAGACTTTCAATATGAAACACGTGGTTAATGTTGTGAACTTTAGGTTACATGGCTTAAGTTAAAAAGAATCTCTGTTAACTATTCATTTCACACGGGAAATGAACACCGGCCTCCTGGGTGTGATTACTTGGATGTGAGAACGGGTTGCACCAAAGCAGGATTTAGGAGATTATAACTCCTTAAAGTAAAAGTTCTGCATTTTGGGAAATATGCTTATTTGCTTTCTGGTAGAGAGTTAGATGAAAAAGCCGACTCTCGTATTTGAAAGTTAAATATAATGCTACAGCCAGCAGGTGGTTAGCGTGAAGGCTGAAAACATGGGGAAACAGCTAGCCTGGCTCTGTTCAACCATAATAAAATCCACCTACCACCAGCACCTCTCACTGGTAGCTCACTAACTGACTGACACTATAACTTGTGTCTTTAATCCATATAAAAACATCAGATTTATGAGGCTAATGTGCTGAACTATTTATTCGCTCTGAGCAGTAACTTAGATTAAACAACCTAGATTAAACAAATGAGATATAATGTGTTAGTGAGTTTAAGGGGTGCTGATAGGTGGATTTTTGTTACAGATGTAAGAATGGTATCAGTCATAGGCCTAACTCTCTGCCAGAAAGTGAATATGCGTATTTTAGAGAATGTCACACTATTCCTTTCTGCAATGCACCACCTCGTTCTATACTCTTCTGCAGTCCAGCCTCTGTCTCCTTGTGAAACTGATGAAGTGGAATCCATTTTTTCCTCTTCAAATGAAAGGCTTTTGTTCATCAAGCCATCCATCTGCTTCATAACTGATCTGTCAGTGTGTTCCCCTTCTACATCAAATCCAGAAATCTAGACTTAACCCCTTAATCGTTAAAAACAATTGACAATCAACAGAGGATTTCTCATTACCTAACACGTGAGGAGAAAACATCTAAATACTCAGAGGCTTTTATCGCCGAAGCTCTTGAAAACAAAGATGAAAAAGTGAGATGGCTCAAATCAATTATGATTGAAATATCTCCAGCCAATTATCAATCTCTCCAGGTTATTTTGGAAGAGGAGCTGTTGATTATGAAGCTGTTAGTGTTGGCTCTGCGAACAGAGTCAGCTTGATAAAACTGTGACAGCTCTTGATTACACTCTACCTGAGCCGAGAGAAACCTGCTCATATGATCTGGAGGCCACTTTGGTATGTTGGCACTTTCTGCCTGTTGCAGATCTGCAGCCTGCTGTGTATTTTTTTTTTTGGCGGCCTCCATGTCTGCGTCCATTACTCTCATTCTCTCATCTCTGTCTCTCACTGCAGGAAACTCCAAACAGGCTCTGAGGTGTAAAACATGCAAGATGGCTGCTCACCTGTGGTGCACCTCTGAACTATCGCAGCAGCTGTGTCATGGAAAGGTGCGAATACACTTTTGATGTTTTCCTGATGTATAACCTTGGTAATTTTTGCTCAGTTTTTATTTGTAATCTGTGAATGTGGTGATCCAGTCTGACTATTCAGCCATGGTGTCTATAACTGTTCTTCCTCTGTTAATTTCAAACAATCTGGAAATAATAAAAAATAAACTTCCAGTTTCTGTTGAACAGTTTCTATCTGAAAAATATAATAATTAGTGGTTGCCTTAAATTTTACTTAAAAAAGAGAAGAATTTTCCTTTCAAGAATTGTCTGACAACCAGCAGGCAGTTAGCTCAGTTTAGCACAAAAACACTGGAAACAGGGAGAAACAGGTAGCCTCTTCCTACTTCCTGGAGTCTTCACTGGTCTTCATTGAACATAACCCCCTTACAAATTTAAGGTGTTACATCTAAAAATTGCAATTAAAATAAGGGATATATATATATATTTAACGACAACTTTTCTCAACTAAAGAGGCGGCCAAATCTTTTTTAAATAGTTAATAAAAATGTGCCACAACAAGTGTTTTTGAGACAGAGAAAATAAACAAGTTTCTCCCCCTCAACCCTCTCTAACCTCTCGTTCCTCAGACTGTCAGTTTTAATAGCCACATTATAAAAACACCAGTAACAATCACCGGACTGCAATCATGATTTGAATAACCTGAGCAGAAACACTGTAACCATGGTAACTTAAACATAAATCTGGACTGCTGTATCACTCAAAATTTTACCTGCATGTTAAAAGAATTAGCTGTTTTGTGGAACCGTTTTAAGTACAGTGTTTACTGGAAGTTTCAGAAGAAGCAAAAATATGTTAAATCACTATTGCTTCATGCAATATATATATATATACATATATATACATATATATGCTATACAAAACCATCTATTGAGTCAACACACAGACACACATACACTGGAACAATCTGAGGGCAAACTCAGTCTTTATTTACCAACCATATGTGCAGTGTTAAAATGCTGACAGAACACAGGTGCATCTGGTAAAGGGCAGATTGTTGTTTTCAGTAGACATGTATTAAGAGGTGTGAAGTGCTGATGTGGCTGAAACATCACTTTCCCTTTGGGTCCAAAAAAACTAGAATATCCATATTTATAACCCAGCGTAATCTTTAGCTTTGTCTAAAATCGCTTAATCGCTAAAAACTCCAATAGTAAGCAGAAAATTGAGATTTCAGACACCTAGGGACCAAATAAAAAAAATTTGCATGTAAATGGTATGAACATTGCAATGTTCATTCCACTCTGGGAATGTTTGGACATGGACATGGACATGTGGACATGGACATGGACATGTTTAATTTGGACACTTGGGGAAGGACAATGGTAGAAGGTGAATATAATGCACAACGCAGCAAATTGGGGGTGATTTCAGACAACACTTTTTTTGCCTATCCTCTTGCAAGGCAGAGGACATTAGCATGCAGCAAGAGGCGAGACCTTCTGAGGGCCACTTGGAAAATCTTAAGAGCACTGTGATCACGATTGGTCACTGCTGCTCAATAGTGTAGCACAAAGACATAGAGAGAGTGGTAGGGGAATGATGAGGGCAGCGACAGGTAAAATAAGGTCAGACCAGACGCTGGGCAACTTTACAGGAACAAAGGTGTCACTTCACTCGACAAAGCGAGTGGTTCATTTGCAAGTCAAGGCAAAAACAAACTGATGTCTCAGCTGAAACACTTACTGTGCTTAATTCAGTGTGAAATTACTAACCTGCAGACACGCAGAACACATGTCCATGCCGTTGTGTAAGCCATGTGCACACAAGTAAGAGGCTAAGTGAATTCATTGCTCATAATTATCAGCAAAGAGAGCTAACATTTTGCTGCAGTCTGTGACTCCATAGCAGACATGAATGCGCTTTCACTGCATTATGTGTAAACTGTGTGCGCGCTTGCATGTCTGTCAGTATGTCTTGATGTGTTTCTGATTCAGTAATTTTCAAATGACTCCATTAATATCCTAAAATTACTACACGGAGCCAGTTTCCCCTCAGCTCAGCTAATAAACAGGAGGTGATGGAAACTGGGGAAAAAACTGCATTCTGCTCTTCTCCATTAGTCTGGAGCGTTCAAGCGAAACTTCAGCTCACCGATGCTCGTCAATGACCAATTGTCTGTCGTCAAAGAGGTGCAACCAAGCCAAGGTGAGCATACCTGAATGTCTGCGTGTGTGTTCATGAGTGAGTGCATGTGTGCATTGTTATGTATGTGTCCCATGTGCTTTTGTTTGGTAGTGTTGCTCTTGTCTAGCCTTCTGGTTTATTTTTGGATTTTTGTGTGCTTGTGCGTGCCATGTACTATAATAAAACCAGAACTGTCCCCATCTCACCTGACAACCGAGCAGCATGAAGTGGAAAAATAGAAAGAGGAAGAACAAATTCAGATTCTCTTGGAGGCTGATGGACGGTCTGCACCCTGAAAGTATGTGAATAAATATTTATAAGTTCTAATGTTTATGTTTTTATATCTCTGTTTATGATTTGTACTGTATCCTTCAACTGATCCAGTGTATTCATTTATGTTCTGGCACTACAGCTTGCATGTTTAAAGCTTGATAAACATCTAAATGCTGCCTATTTTCTGATTAGTCTAAGTCATAACTAGTTGTCTGTATCATCACATCCACCTACTGTATCTTTCATATAAAAAACTACAATAAAAATCAAATTTTTCATTAGTGCTATACAATTATGGAAGCAAACAAGTGACACTTAATTGTCTGTTTGTCAAGTAAACCTGCTGAAGGCTAAAACACAGTTCAAGCACAGATTGTTGTTAGACTCACTCGCCTAAAGGTACCTGAATTTGTTCTTCCTTTCATTATCGTCTCTGAATGCCGTACCTTTAGATAAACATCTGTGTAGGTGATACAGTCCTTCATCTCGCAGACGATATGCCTCCCTGAATCAGGATTAGCGCCTCATGCTGTCACTTTCTTGTACTATCAATGAATCAGGGTGCAATTAACCTACAGCGCTGTCATCACCCCGAGTGCCGCACCATGACGCCTGGGACTCTAGCAGGGCCATCTGAGACTGCAACCTGCCAAATTCACAATCACACATTGCAAAGTGTCCTCATAATTATTGCTAACAAAAGGCTTGGCAAAAATATTCAGCTCTTGTTTATGCACATTAATATTAGATGGCAATTTCAATGATGGATTTACTGGCAGACCGTGTAATTTCCCGTCAACTGCCTTTTGGCAACTCAGATTATTGTCTCATATCAAATCTCATTTATGAGGGTGAAAGTTTAATAAGTGAGAGTTAAGTGCATAACAGTTAATGCTTGCAGTTGCAATTATAATCTGATTACCTACCAACTGAAATTATGTTTTTTAATGTTTTGTTTCTCCGTTTAGACAAGAACCACAGTTGTGTTAGGTTAACGTTAACATTAAAGAAGGATTTAAGGATTTTTCAGGAAATTTTGTTAGCTTTTTCAAAATAGGCTCCAGTCACAAAAGCCTATGGCTGATAAAGGTATTTATGAAGACAGACATGAGGCTATATTGCATATACTGCAGAATTCACCTTTCTGCACTAAAAAGAAAGCTGAAGGTCAGAGACTCTATAAAATTTTTTATTTGTATAGCACGGCTTTCTACTCTTTACTCTTTTCCCCTGCAATCAATTGCTCTCTGCAGAAATACCTCCTTCATTGAAACTGCTGCAATCAATTTAAAGCACAAATGACCTTCATCACCTCTAAATACTTGTTGCACTAAAGACATGCTATCTGACAAGATTGTGGAGGCACTGACTTCAGAATGAAACTGTAAATAATTACGATGTCATCCTGCACCTATACACACACACACACACACACACACACAGCACACAGTACATCTGGCTCTGCATCTGTCAGTCATTCAACTTCAGAAATACTCTGATTAGGACCAAGCACTGCCATCTACGTGAAATGTAGCACTGAGGGCTTTCTGAGGATTTCCATATTCCAAATCTCATCTCTTATTCCCTCTCTTCTCAACTATAACTCCAGATATATTACGGCTATTAAAACTAAGACACATTTCTTGCCAATAAGTAAATGTAAAAATAAATGAAAGCATGTCAATTTATTGGAATGTCTTGATGTCTCCTTAACTTTTGGCTGCTGTCTTCTCTCAGATCTAAAGTGGGTCACTTTGGTCCAGGACTGACTGTGTTACTACAGTTATATTTAGAACCTCTAGTTCCTCCATATTGGCACAGTAATAATGATGTGCAGTGTAATCTCAGTGTGTAGTCCACTGTGTGTGTGGAGCTGTGTCTTTGCGTGCGCTTGTAAATAAAGTGTGTGCATGCATGCATTTTATGTGTGGTTTCAGAGGCTGCGCGGATGCGTGTTGACCCCGTGTATGCTGCCTTGCGCTACGGGACGTCCTTGGCACAGATGAACCGCTCCAGTTTTGGCAGTTTGTCAGAGTCGCCAACACGCAGCCTGGTATGACATAATCAACCTGTGGTCAGGGGTAGAGGACATTTTGGATACTGCATGATAAAGACCTACGGAAAGTTTTTACAATATTGGTCCATTGGTAAACTTACTGCTGAAGCTACAAATCACTGCACTGCAGTCTCCATAAAGACATGCTCCCTAGTCCACAGGTCTGCCATATTTTGTAAGCATTTTACAAATGATCTGCAAATATATTGGAGGTGGCTTGAAAACAATAAAAAATATAATGTATTAAGCTTTGAAAGAGTAGTTTGACATTTTAGTGAATACAGGTATACACTTTCTAGTGGAGAGTGAGATGGGATGAATGATCTTATGTCTGTACAGTGAAATGAAGCTACAGCCAAGAGAAGGTTAGCTTAGCTTAGCACAAAGACTGGAAACAGCTAGACTGGCTCTGTCAAAAAGCAACAAAAAACACTTACCAGCACTTCTCAAGCTCACTAATTAACATTTTGTATCTTGTGTGTTTAATCTGTACAGAAAGTCTAAGAAAAAAAGTATTTTGGCTTTCCAGTCTTTGTGCTAAGCTAAGCTAAATGGCTGCTAGCTTAATATTATAGAGTGATGTGAAACTCTTGATCCCATAATGTCAAACTTTTTAAAGCTTTTGAAAAGTTTCTTCTCTTTTGAGGTCATGCTAGTCTCCTACTTACAGTAAATCCAACTTGGCATATGGTGAAGTGTTATAATTGAGCACCAGGGTATCATCTATGAGGAGCATAATGGATGACACTGGTCTCTGTGTTTTTCTCATTAAATGTGTTTTTGAACCAGTGCCCCCACCCCCCATATGCTGGTGCTAATATTTTTTATTATTTTCCTCTTTGATAAGGGGGAGGGAGCTGAGGAGTGTCAGCAGAGACAGTGCAGCATGGAGGAAGAGATAACTCAGGAAACAGGGGGTAAACACTGTCTCCATGTATGTGGATAGGCTGTATATGTGCTGTATATGTATGGCTATGCATATGTTGTGTTTACCTGTGCATGTCTGTCTGTGTATGTGTGTGTGCGGGAGAGAGAGAGTTTAACTGGATTGGATTTATTGGATACAGTATGTGTGGTTGCGTACTTGTCTGGCACCATCTAAAAAAAATTCTCACCATCTCTAGATGACCCTGTCCCCGACACCGAGATCGAGAAGGAGGAAGACGAGAGCATCAGCCAAGCTCAGACTCCTGCTGAGGACAGCAGTGTGAAGGTACCTCTCTTTTAAATCCCCCTGTGCAGACTGTCACTTCTTATTGTTTTCTACCTTGAGTGTGTATTTCTGTCTCACTCCCTCCCCTCTCTGTGTCTCCCTGCGTCCAGGTGCCCAAGCGCATTGAAGTTCACTCCATCCATACTTATGTAGCACTCTACAAGTTTCTGCCTCAGGAGCAGAATGACCTGGAACTACAGTGAGTAAAAGCCAAACGAGAAACAAGAAAAGGCATTTTTACAACCATGTGTGTGCAAGTGGGCTTGTCTGGTATTGTGTTTTCGCTATTGTGTGTGTGAGTGCATTTGCTTTGTGTGTGTGTGTGTTTTGTTCCTCCCTGTGTTTTGGCCCGCCTGTCGTTCCTGCAGGATGAAAATGTCCCCACCATCTGCAGAGGACGGTGCCGGGGCGCCCTTAAGGACAGCTAATTATAAACTTGGAGCCCATTACTGTCCTCTTGTAGAGCTGGCGAATGAGCTGTATTCCCAGCAGGGGAGAGGATGAAGACACCGAACAACTGAGAGATGAAAGGGCGGACAGACATGAGGGGAGACTGCATAGAGCTGAAGATTATCATAGGCAGAGAGAGAGGAAGGGAGAAACAGGGGGAGAAAGCAAATATAGAAGTTAAAGCTCTATAAGATGAAGGAGGACGAGGAAAGAGAGGAAAGGAAGAACAGTAGTGAAATGAGGGAAAGTTGTGCATGTGCGCGTGCGTGCGTGTGTGCGTGCGTGCGTGCATGCGTGTGTGGATGGATAATGGACAGCTTTCACAAAGGTAGAAGATCCATGAGACTGTTAGCAGCCATCTGTGCTGTGACTGTGTGTGTGTGTGTGTGTGTGTGTGTGTGTGACTGCACAGCATTATACTTTATGTGAAAGCATTTTGTGCTTCTGTCACGGTTTTGGGCAGAAGTCAAGAACGGACAAAAGTTTGTGCTGATAAGGAGTATCCTTAAAGGTAATATTTATTTGAAAAAAGTAAAACATGTAAATTGTTATGTCCCACATGTTACAGCACTTAAGTTGTTAATTCAAAAGCTCTGCACACCCACACATGTTTTCTGGCAGATTAAATGGAGCTATGCTACTAACTAAGGTCACCAAATCTACATTGCTATGTCCGAAATCAGACTTTGCTCTGCAGTGCACTAAATGTACCCTCTGCCATTATATTTGAGTGTCAGAATTTGTGGTGTGAAATGTAGGCACTCTATAGGGCCCTGAAAATGCAATGTCATGAAAAGCAGTGCCCATAAAGATGTACACTGCTTTCTGCTAACTATCTCACACTGCAATGTTTCACATTTTATAGATGTCAGTCAGGCAACACTCCACCTGACTAATGATTTTATATATTATAGCTAATGATAATTTATAAGAGTCTTGAATCACAGTTTATTGCTCACTGTAGAGTAAATTAGTGAGAGTGTTTATTATATATGGAGTAGTGAGTGAATGAGGGAGTGGTTTTAGGAAAACAGCCCTTGTGTGAGTGATAAAGGTATAAGTTGCCCTACCCCAACAGGGGCCGCAACACTAATAAGAGAGTGAGGAAGCCTATTGGCGTGTACGTGTATGATGTCAACAACATCGGCAACTCGTGTACCAACATTTTCTCAGACTTTTTGATTTGTTGTTCCAACTTCAGGGGGCGATAAAGTGAATTTCGATTGACATGAATTCACAGTATACGCTACCACAGTCCTGATAGGCCCAATCAGGCAAAATAAGTGAAAACACCTGGTTGTGTGGTGGTGTGGGTATAGAATACAAGACCTTTTCATACCAGACATTTTGGCGTGTCATAACAGGAAAAGCTAATTGATAATATCAATGACTGCACTCCATTTAGGTGACCTACTTCCAGGGTCCTGGTATAGTGCATGCCTGCTTACTGTCATGGCTTACTGGGACGCTCGATGGAACTGAGCCATCGTTTCACCTCTGCTTTTCCTGCTGCTAAAATGTCTGCCATGAAAAAGGTCTATGTGGGGCTTTTAAATGTGTTAGCCTCTCAAAAGTAGTGGTTTAATACTTTCTGCTCTGTTGACGAGCAGTTTTCATTTTCCCTCAAATAAAACACACAAAATTCAAAACCCTCACACTGTCCCATCTGTTTCTGGCTGTGGGTAGACATAAATAGAAAATACTGATGCTACATTTGATGTGTCAAAATGTGAAGATAGTGACATTATAAATAAGTAAATTGCAACATGTTGTTAAGCTCCACCATCCATTATAAATGTGTATTTTTTTGACACTGAGCAAAGCTGCTGTTCCCATGGACATCAATAACACCACCCTTCAGCATTTACCTTCAAACTGTATGCAGAGACCTAAAAGAAAGGCATCAAGAGTTTGTCTAGGGCTTAAGCAGCTGTGCTCCTGAGAGAAACCTCAGTGAGCAGAATAATTGTTTCATATTTAATAAATGGCCAGTATCAGTTGAGATATATGGGTCTCACCCTAGTTGGCAACTTTATGTAACTGTGTGCAAACTTATGCGTGCGTGTATGTGTTTGTGAGCGATGATCATATAGGGCAGCAGTGAGTGCAGACACCCAAGAGAGGCAACGTACAGAAGTGCAATTGGGACAGCAGTTTCTCCCTGTGTATCTAGGACAGTGGGTACACTGTGTATGAGTGTGTGTGTGCATAGAAAAGTCTCATCAAAAACTGGTAACATCATTAGCATGCAGGCCAGATTGGCTGCAGATCACGTCCACCACCACCACCACTGCAGAAGGCACTACAGTCGTATTTCATGTAGAGCTTATGACTTTGGTGTCAGCTGCTCTGTCACCTCTGCAGAGGGACACAAAGACTCCTCCACATTTAAAGCGCCACATCTTTGTAACCATGGGTGCAACAGCTTTCTGTGGGAGTTTGATGTTATCTTTTGTGCTTGCACTCAACTCTCTTTTTCCCTCTTCTTGCTCGCCGCTCCCACTCTCTCACCCCCTTCATCTGCCGATCATGTATCCCACTCTCGTCTCGCCGTCCCCTTTTCCTCTCCACCTCAATCAACTCCCCTTTCATCTTCTCTCTTGTCTTATCCCCTCTAGTCCTGGTGATCGGGTACAGGTTACTGACGACTCTAATGAAGAGTGGTGGAAGGTGGGTAATTAATCATTTGCAAATGTGTGTGTGTGTGTGTGTGTGTGTGTGTGTGTGTGTGCGTTTGTTGATGCGTACCTGTGTGCATAATTTCAGTGTAGAGAAATTTGTGTGCGTGCATTTATGCGTGTGTGCATGTGTTAACTCAAGTTTTTAAATAAACCCTTTAATGCATAACACCTGCTACATATTTGCCCATCATAAACATGCACACAGCCACAGACAGAAATAGAACATAATTTCCTCTTCCTGAAAATTACCAAGGGTTTATCATAATGAACTTGACTACTGTTGCAACCTCAAAGAGCTCTTTATTGAGTCTGTAATGAGCTTCACTCACTCCCAATGGATATAAATGTGCAGCTGTTGCATGTGTGTGTGTTTCAGTAACAGAAAAAAGGAAAATGCACCCAGACTTAACTGAAGTGCAGTGTCTGTTTATCTTCCGTTCATCAGCGGATAGAAGATAAACAGTATTTACTAGGACTTATGTAGCCTAAAGTGAATTATATAGTAAACACCGAAAATCAACACTGCAGCTCAGAGGAACCTTTAAATTATACATAATTTGTGAATCATCTGTTCATTACTAATGTATAGCTTGTGAATGACTTCAATAAACACATCAACACCTGAGGCAGAGGGTGATTAACAGTGAAAGGATACTACATGGCGAGGTTCAATCAACATCATCTGTCTTCACCAGCACACAAGGGGCCATAATCTGCTGTTACTATTTTTCTTTAAATGCATGGAAAACAAATCTGATTTTGAGGTGAATCCCCTTCTTGTTTGCAGTTCAAATCAAGTATTACCCTAATTTGTGTAATTAGAGTGTTCTGTCTTCTAAAGTTGTTTCTACATTTGCCTCAGCAGCCACAATGACTGTCACTGCAAAGACAGAAATGTGAGAAAGTGGTTCTTGCTGTCTGTCTCACTTTGTTTTTAATTTACCATTACTATTCAGAATAGAGAAATGTATGGCAACAAAAAAGCCTCTTTCCTGTGTCTTAACACAGGATTACAACGCTGAAACATATCAATAAGTTCAGAAAAGTTCAGCCAGGCTGGACTTCTGTGTCAGTCAAAACACCCATGAGACTAAATGACCTGTGTTTACATTTATTCATTCTTTTATCCAAAGCTACTTACAATTGCTATATGTCAGAGGTCACACGCCTCTGGAGCAACTAGGGGTTAAGGGTCTCGCTCAGGGACATTGGTGGATGTGACACAGTGGGGAATTAAACCCAGGTCTCTCACACCAAAGGCAAGTTATCCACTGCTCCACCACCACCTGAAGGTGATATTATATTGCAGTATATAATAGCCGTCATGACATCCAGATGCATTATCAAATGTTGACTGATTGTACTGTTCTCCTGTGTTTTTCAGGGCAAGAGTGGTGACAGAGTCGGCTTCTTCCCTGCCAACTTTGTGCAGAGGGTCCGGCCAGGAGAGAGAGTGTGGCGGGTCGTCCAGGGCCTTCCTGGCAACCGAGAGAGAGGGCACATGGCCGTGAGAGAATCCCAGGTACACCAAAATGATCTTGACTTTATATTTTTGTCTTATTTTTTTTCCTACTCTGATTTATACTTATCCTCTTTAAAGAACTGCACTGAAATGTTGGGGCATTGAATCATTTGTTACAGTGGGCTGGAGTCAGTCCCAGGGTACATCCTGGGCAGGGTGTGGCAGAAATGATCTGTGTCTCTTGTGTCACCACTATAATGCTCATCTTATCCAGTTTTTACAATCTTTCAGCAAGACTTTACATTGATTGATGAGAATATATTAATTTTAAAAAAAATGTATACATGATTTACTGAATGTTGTCACACACCCAAATTTGTGGTAGAAGCTGTGGATTGACACCACAGTTTACATAAACATTTTCTTGTTATTACAAAATGAAAACAAAAATGCTGATTATGCTGAGTTAAAATAAGGGGATGTTATAAAATAGTATTTTTACATCATATAGTAGAGTACATTTTTAAATGTTTGCCCAGATTTTGTATTACTGGATTGTTTTTGTAAAAATAATCTTGAGCTTTTTTTAATATTCAGAATTAATTCTGATAAATTGACCTATGTTAAGCATAAATTATATTGAATAACTGTAGGAAACTGGCAGAGTTTTCATTCGTTCTGTTGGCATGTTCATTCACATGCACATGTTAAGAGAAAGATTATGATACATCATTTTCTGCCAAAATACCTGTGAAATATCATTTTTCACAGGTAAATCTGGTCCTTTATTCCTGCATCTGTTACTTTGCAGAAAATAGAGCAACTCAGTTTCTGTCCCCTCCTTTTAGATCTGTGTGGGGAAGCTAGAAGATGGCGAAATGTTTCTCAAGCTGAGCAGTGGGAAGAAGAGAGGGCTGGTCCCAGCTGACTCCATAGAGGAGATCTGAGCCTTTGTGCTCTCATCACTATCCTTACACTTCTACTTCCCTGGGATGCACCCATCCTCAAACTATCAGCATCGCCCCTCCCCCACCCTTCCCTCGCCACAAAGACAGCCGCAGCCTCACCAACCAGTCCTGGCTGACTACAACCAAACAGATAAGCTGAATGAAAAACGCACACTTCTGCAAAGAGCTGGAACCACAGCCTCTGATGAACACATGGTTTCCACTTGATTTGGCTTTCTGTCTTTAGTAGAGTCTTTAATGGGGTGTACAGTTATGCAGTGGTCCTGCTCTTAGAAAGGAACTGTTTCTCAGCAGTCTAGTGTTGCTGTAGGTTCATCTTTTGAATACAAAAATCAATGCTTAGTTAGACAAAGGGTGCACAAGAATGCAAAAATGCTTTAAATATGCTTGCTGGATGCCGGTTCACTTTTTTTTCCTTATCAAAAAGACGTCTACCAACATGTGGGAGGAGGCTGAGTCCTGTCATAGGAACATGATGCTTCTGTCAGTGTCCTTTTCTTGTATCTACCCACTCTGTATGTCTCATCCCTATCTGCTCGTGTCAGAGTCTCTGGCCTGGGGACTGATATCAGCTTCATGTAGACTGGTACACAACATGAGGCACTCACCAAGGACAACCACTGCCAGCCAGAGAAAGCTACTGCCATTCAGACAGACTGGAGAATCAGATGAAAGGAGTACACACAATCCCAAAATCCACTCTTAGGTTGGCACTCGCCAACTTCAGAGTGCAGAAATAAGAAGATTTTCAAAGGAGGATTGGGGGGTCTGAGGATCTGTTCACAGAAACCTCAAAAACTTTTTCCCCTTACTTTTTCTGTATAAAATGACAGTGAAAATATGATACAAAAAGTGTGTCAGCATATTTTAATTTTTGATAAGAGAGCATAAATCAATCATGGTGGACCCCATAGAAAGATCTACTCAACAAATTTTATGAAACAAACTTTCCCTTTTCAGAAATCTACAAGACCAGAACGTATTGCCTTTTCTTTTTGGTTAATGGCATATCCATACAGGAATAAATGTTGGTGTAATATATGTTGTTGATGACTAAGAAACAGCAGTGATTGTCTAGGGTCTAGATTTTTTGTCCCACTGTTCTAAGCAAAGATGATAAAGGAGAAATGAAAAAGAGGGGAGATGAAAGTTGCGAGTCACTCTGGGAAAACTGGAATGGTGGTCCTCTTTCGTTTGGCTGGCTGTTGTGAGCAAGAGCAAGAAAAATGTGTCAACATCTTCCAAGTGTAGTAGTTACAAGTGGCGAGAGCTGTTCTCCTGTTTTCACATAAAGGAGCTTGGCAGGCACAAAAGGGTAGCTCTCTGCATAGGCCAGCTGAAGAGCCGCAGCGGGTATTGCAAGTGTTGTACAGCATTTTAACATGTCTTCACTAGTGCTGAAACAGTGGGAAATAAACCGCGGCCAGTCTGACAGAAAAACAACAACACAATGGGGATCTTTCTGACCATGACAAGGAGTCCAAGTCTCACTGACAGCTTGGAGTAGGGCACAGGAAAATAGAGGGAGGAGGAGGTGCAGTGAGAGATAAGTCGGTGTTAAACCGTTATGAGTCAGTGTGTGCATGCAGGTAGTGTTGTATCCATGGGTGCATGACTTATCATTGATCAAATGTCAGCCTGTCAGCTTCATCTTCCACTCCCCACTTGGCCTCTCTTGTCCTTTCGTTATTGAAGTGACTGGTGAGTTATGAAGGCAAAAAAATTGAAGGCATTTTTATTTCTCCTTTGTAGGTACACTTTTGATGGTTAAGCCTTTCATTGATTAATTTATCGATTACTTATTTAACAAATTTGATGCATTTCTATAGAAGAACACCTTGTTCCAGAGTGAGGGGGGGGACGCACACTTCACTAGTGAAAGATCACGAACATGAACAAAATGTAGGCTTTAAGCACAGAATGCAAAAGTAGAATGATGGCACTGAAAATTATGAAATAATTTAACTCATATGTCTTCTTTCAGATCACAGAGCTCTAGCTAATATTATCCTTCTTTACTTCTCTACATTTAAATATATGTGAAAGTTTTTAGAGACTGTGAGAAAAAAGCTTCTTAATGAGAATAGCACTTTATTTTGTGTCATTTTAATAAGTTGTCCTTTTGTTGAGGTATCTCCTTCATCGTGATATCTGTCATATTGAACAATACTTTACCTGCAACTTCAGCATGGAGTTCTTCGGGCTGATGGCTTGTCTTCATGCGTCAGACATTTATAAAGTCAAAAAATATCAGAGATGGAAAAATACAGAAAATTACACATTAGCAACCATCCTGGAAGAAAATGGTGTCAGAGCAGAACTGGATGATTTTACCCATGTAAACACTTTGTTATCTTGCATTGTGTCTAGTTTTATGTAGCATCACATGTTCACACCTTTGAGGATTCAAAATATTAAGTATGTGTTTGGATGTATCCAGTCCAGAGTCATTGGTTGGCCACATACCTCAATAAAAAGATCTTTACAAAACAGTCTCTGCCCTTTTCATGCATGCTGTCTGTCACGCGATTTGAACACTGGCACAATGAGCTCATGCATGTGTGAATGTTGTTGATCATGTAGGCCTGTATGACAGAAGCACACAGCTTTTGGTGTTTTTCTATATTTGTAATCCTATTCACTGCTTATTTAGCACCAAGATAGCAGGGAGCTCCAAAATAAGGCCGCTTTAATGGCAAATTTCAGTGGCGTTCATGCATAATATGCATGCTCCGTTCAGAAACACACACCGCTGTGCACAGAGGAAGGCCAAAATGATGGTCAAAACTCAGCCGCAATATAAATATCACATAATGGCACTGCTGGAGGGCGAGTAATTCAGACCTTTTTATTTAATCTCACACAGCTAAACCAGAGAAAGAGTACAACAGTCAAATCAAGGAAACCGACACTGACTGGTTTACTTATTTGGTCTTATTCACTCACTCACTCAACGTTGATTTTGTTAGTTAGAGCAATCTTGGTGTTAACTAAACACTTCTTTCAATTCTCAAGAGTGCGTGTTATGTAGTGTAGTTTCCCTTGAGGTCAAAATTATTTGTATTTACACTAGAATTTTTGAAAGCATACATACACCTGTTCATTCTCCAGTTTCTATGATGACTTGCTTATGTGCAGAGGTGTACATCAAACAAACTAAAAGATCTCAAAAACAATCATCTCAATCAAGATTCATTTTACTTTTTTGTATTTTTATCTCCATACTGCTTTTATTCCTGCGTCTACCAATGACAGTTTCAAAATATTTCCTATACAGGTTGTGTTTTTCCTGGAATATACAACACAATGAAGGTTTTGCGTTCTTAGTTTCTTCTGTAAGCATTTTAAAGCTGTGTTAATAAAGAAAGTGAAGCAAATTTCCTCTGATTGAACCCAGAACTCACAAGCAAATTTGTGTGTATTAAGGTCCTTCCATTAAAGCTTTGTTTATACTCACACGAGACACAGTGAGATATGAGCTGGCTGTCTGGATACGAGCATGCACCGAGGCATTTATGCTCAATGCGTAGTTCGTTCCAGTATTCTCTCTTAACGTGCAAGTGGTCAGAGAGTGTTACTGGAAGAACGTCACATGGCTACATGCACTGCCTCATAAAAAAAATTATAAAATGCCTCATCTTTCAATGTTTTGGCGATATCGCTCCATGAATTGAGAGTATTTGGCTGTCCGTGTGGACTCTCTAGGAAAGGTCATAGAGGTGTTTATGGAGGCAAACCTGTTCGGCCAGTCTAACTCCATCTATGTTGAAATGAAAAGTGCACCACACTCTCATCTGAGTCTTCCAAGAAATAATGTAAAGATTTCTCCTTTCTTCTGTTGGAAGAAAGAAGTTGGAGCAGAGCTGTTGCTGTTTTGCATCAAGTAAATGTTTGCTTTAGTGAATTGTTAACATGTAAAGTCTAGCACTAATGCTCCGGCTTTGGGTGTAATAAATCACTTTTCCAGAAGCACTGCTTTTAGACTGTGATCATATATGGCTTCAGAATATTGTGTGCTACTGACAGATGTTGAAATCTATTATTGTTTTTAGGAGGAGTTCTGAAGAATTAATCCACATTCTGACATTTGCACTTGCTAATGTTTTGACCGTGGAAAAACAGTGGCAAACATTTTCATTTTTGGCTGAACTTTTAGGCCAACTTTACTAGTGTGTATGCCTGATTTTTGGGTGCACATTTGATTTGTTACACAACAGCCAAACAATAGCCTGCATCTTGACAGAAAGGATCTTTGGTTGGTTGATGAAGCGGCTGAGTTTCACTACCAATAGTGGCTGCTATACCTCTATTAACACTTGACAGTGCTGCCCATCTGCTGTGACTCAGAGCACGGCGAGTCCTCTCAAGCTGATGAAACTTTGCCAGTGTGGGAGAGCGTTGTCTTCTCAAATCTCCTCATTTCATTTTTCTCTCAATCACTCCTTGCGTCCTTACTTACTTTACAGACATTGACACACACTCTCACTCTCTCACCTGTCTTTTACTGTCTCACTTCATCTTCTGGCTCAGTCTCTCTCTGTCTCTCTCCTCATATCAGTTTCTGTTACTGCCTTCATGCCGATGTCTATATGCCCTGCATCAGTCAGGCAATGACTGTCTATTTCCTTTCCCCTTTTTTTCCAGTTCCTATTTTGACATTACATATGATTAAAGCTATTGTAAGGAGGCTCTTGCTGCACTCTGCCTCTTCTGATTTGATTATGGACAAATTTCTGAGGAGGAAGCGGCTGAAAGTAAAATTGCCTATTAATAATGCCTCATTTCTGCTGGCTGCTCCAGCTCAGCTTGGCCATAATATCAACTTTCTAAAGTACTTAAGCGACAGAAAAGGGACAATTAAGGCCCGGTGTAAATGTGGTTATTTCTGAAATCTGACCCAGAGTCATATCTGGTCGACCCTGCACAGACCCTGCAGGGGTTTGCTTGCGCTCCCGTACAATAAATGTCCACTATCATTATTCAGGATTTCCCCTGCTGTTATTATTGCGTCTCATGACCTTTTGAGGTGCCTCTAAGCGTTAGACTAACAGCTTCTGTGTCTTCTGTCCCAGCCCAAGTGAACAGAGAGCCATAATATCAATAGAGACAGACAAAAAGAGACAGAGAGAGAGAAAGGAAAGAGAGACAGATAGAGAAACAGAGAGACATAGAGAGAACATCAGCTGTTGTTCTGAACATTGTGTTCCTCCTCTTTTATCTCTCTTCCATGTGGTTCTTTTTAGTTAATATCAAACTGTTTACGCTGTTTTTTGTTGTAGGTTCCAGTGTGGTTTTGGCTGTGGGCCAGAATCACAATATGAGGAACAACAATAAACTAAACCTAGTTTAGCATGACAGATGTGAGCCAGAAGCTCTTCATCTCCACACTGTGAGCAGCTCAGGTCAACAGTTCAGTTTCTACCTGATTTTAGGTGGAAATCTAATTGTATCTATAATATATAACAGTCAGGTTTTCTTCTTGCAAATTACAGTAGGTATAATGTTGTGTCATAGGCAGCTGGCAAAGAATCATGTAGCATTAATTGAAAATGAACAGAAAATAAATCTTAGTAAACGTATTTCATTGCTACTGATCACTTGGCAATGTCTATTTTGGATTTGGGGAACTGGATGAATGGTTGTAATCAGGTATTTTCCCCCACATTTCACATGTTCACTTTAGCCCAGATTGGAGAGGACTACCCTCTCAGATACAGCCATGCCCAAATGTTCTTAGTTGAACATCCACAATAGCTGAGATTATCTGGATGCATGGTCTCCTCCATTGGAAATTAATGGATTTCAAAGATACTCACTGATCACGCTGCTCAGAGGCTGAATGCCAGCTTACTAACATACATTTTGCAATGACCACTATGAGTAGCAACAGCCATAAGCTTAAATCTACCAACTCTCATGTCTGTAGATTTATTATGAAACCACTGTGTGCAGTCAGTTAGCTTACCACAACACTGGAAGGGGGAAAACAGCACGCTTGGCTCGGTCCAAACATAACAAAATCTGCCTGTTAGTATCTCTAAAGCTCATAATTAACACATTTTATCTTGTTTGATTCATTCGTACAAAACCAAACTGATATGTATTAATATCAGTTTGCCAATTTTCAGGGGGATATGTGCTGGACTATTTTTTGGCTGGGAGTTACTGATCACAGCCAAGACATAGTGCAGCCAGTCTTCTCATCTCAAGCTCCATAACAAGGCATATAAGCATTTTCTCAAAATGTCAAACTTCTCCTTCAAAGTCTGCAGATGCAAATAGAGATATTAAACTGTAGCAAGTTGGGCCTTCGTCAGCACATGAGCATGTGTTTACACTTTGCAAACAAACTAACACTCAAAATGTGGCTAAGTGTCACAAAAATTATTTCTTACATAGCTTTAAGATTACAAAGTCCCAGAATCAGCTAAATATGACATGTTTTTACGTTTTTCCTTCCTTTACCTTTTTACTAAAAAGCATGACGAATACCTTCTAATCTATGACAAATGATTGAATCTGTTTTTACTGTTTTTTTTCTTTTCTTACTCAAATAATATGACAGTAATCAGAACCAGGATTCAGTAAGAACTATAATGGTAATTGGTATCAGATGCAGAATTGAAATTTGCATAAATGGCAGCAATGTAAACCACAATAAAACAAATTACATTGACAATGAATGGTGTCACATATTTTTACCATTTCCTCCCTCAAATCCTGAGCAAAACAGATTTTATTCCACCCCTCAAACACCACCCCAAACCCACGAATGCGCATGCACGCACACACACACACACACACACACACACACACACACACACACACACACACACACACTCCCCGCCTTGTTGTTTCTTTTTATAAGTATGCAATTTTCACACTTTCTGTTTGTAGAGGGAGGAAGCGAATGATTTTCAAAGCAAAGCAAATAATGACATAAGAGACTGTCAGGGGAATCCAATTGCAAAAAATAGTGCTGATTAAATGAATAGTCTTTCCTAGAATAGAAGGTAATTACAGGTTGCTAAAACGCACACACAGACACACTTGTCACTGACACAGCTGACAGAAGCATAAAGAATAATTTCTTCAAATGCGAGTACAACATACCATTACCCTTTCTACTTCACCCACACAGGAACAAATGCAGTGCAATAATCTGTCTTCGGCATCAAGCTACCACACACAAATACAGTAGCTATGGGCAGAGAGAGAGAAATAGAGACAAAAAGCTATTTATAATGCTGTCACATGTCTGTAGTTTACATGGCACAGGGGCGGGGTTAGAGTTTACCATCTTATTGTTATTTTACATCCCGTCTATTCCAGTTAACTCCTGTTTCCTTTTCCTCTATTGCACATAACAGAAGGAAAGAGGAAAATGTCATGAAGGCACTTAACCGTCTTGTTTAACACACAAGACGACAACAGCGTTGAATGCACACAGTCCAACAAATTTGGAGAAGAAACTATATCCAGGCCACTCTTACTGAGACCACTTTTTTTCTCTCAGTCACCACTTCAAAACAAAACTTTTAGAAGACACGCTACCTCTGTCATTCCAGCAATGTGGGCATATAAATCAGGGATTAAAAAGTGCTGTGGGACAAAGCAGCAGGGAGC